TTCGAGCGTTCGACTTACCCTTGAATCGATCGTATGCAAATCACTGGGGGACGATTTCATTTGGGCCAGCTGGAGTTGAATTTCCCGGCAGATCGCCTCCAATTACTTTTCGTCGTATCGACGACGGTCTGCGGTTGGTCGCCAGCACTCCCCGCAGCCGCAGCGCGTACCCCAGAATACGCAGGCCGCACAAGCCGGTGGGCGCTGGCGGCTGGGACGCGAGGCCTCGGGAAAATACCTTCTCCATTCCAAATCTGGGCGGTCGGGAAGGGTTGCCCAGCAGGAGCAGCATCGCGCGCGCAGCGCCGGCAGCGTAAGCTCTTTGGTTCTGTGACTGCGCAACGCCAATGGATTAAACGCCGCTCGAGGTTGAGGAGTGAGTCCGCTGGCAGGCCGGGAGCCACTCCGACGAAGCACAAAGGACTGCAATTCACCCGACCAGGCGGTGGACGAATGGATTACATCTAGGGTGTAACGCACTGTGAAGTTGATCTTTCGAAAGCTTGTGGGGTCTGGCCCTTCCGTTGCGGCGTGTGACCCGCGCGTTCGCTTGGGTGTGATTCGGCGTCCCCTTACAGGTGGTTTGCGCACGCGGGACCGTGACTCCCGTCGCCGTTCCAAGGTTGGGACGCGCGCCCGTTGCTCTTGCGGTCTGGACTTTGGGACTGTCCCTCACATTTCTCGGGACTGTCGGCTCGCGGCCCGATGAACTCCCTGCTAGGCCCTGCCAGCCCCTGTTCCTGCTTGCTTTTGGTATGCGGCGTTGCGCCCTGCGGTTGGACTCCGTTGGTGTTGTTGAAGCCATCCACTGCCTGTTAGTTGACGTGTGGTCTTCCTACATACGGCGTTTCTTTGAGGATGCCCCTTCTGATCCGCCTGCGACTGGCCCTCGCCGTCGCTTGCACGGCAAGCAGCCTCCTCCTGCGGCTTGGCAACGGGCATGCGCTTCGTGCCTTGCCGGATAACGCGGGTGTGTTCTGTTGCAAGCGTGGTCGTCGGCAGCGTTCCTGGAAATAGCGGTGGAAGATCTCCCGCCTCCCCTGCCCCATGCGTGATCTGCCTGCTGAGAAATGGTTACATGCAGCGCTTGTCGGAGGTTTCTCGCCTCCCTGGCTCGCACTCCCTCTCTCTTAGAATGGCCTCTGCGATAAAAAGTACGGCAGTGCCCGGGAGGGCCTGCTGTATTGCGAAGTGTGCTCTTGCACCTGGCGGTGGGCCTTCCGCCTTGCCATGGCAGCCGAGGTCCTGCTGATGCTGATCGCCTGCACACTGGTCGGGCTGTTGCCGCTTGGAACGCAGCTTGGACATCGCCTTCTTCGCATGAGCTTGAGTTCTGCTCTGAATTCATGCGCTGGCGCTGTGTGAAGTGTGCCATTGGCTACACTCGCAGATGGGATAACAAAGCTGTCCGGCTTCTCCGACGCCCTTGTGTCACTCGTGCTGATGTTTCGCCTGTCTTTTCCCCCGAGCTCAAGCTTGAGTGGAAGTGGTCTGCCCCAGCCGCAGCTGCGGCCGCGGAGGGCGAGACTTAGAGTTGATGTGTGAGAAGGGTGGACCGTGGTCCTCCGCTTCGTGAATGGATGTAATTGTGGGGTCTTCGCGGCTTTACTCAGATTCCATTCGAGATCACGGAGAAGAAGTTCGGGCATGATGGGCAAGGCTTCTGGCCCGGATGATTGGTATGTCGAGGAGTGCTCCTGGGAGGCTTGCCAATCTGTGGCAGCTGGTTTTACGATCACGGCGTGGTTGCACTCATCGAGAAGCCCAAAGGCCAATCACTGAACGCAACTTCCAGGCAACACTTTTGCGCCAGGTTTGCCATGCCCTGCACCACCAGCTTGGACACGACGCTTTACGAACCACAGCCCTGTCCACGACACTGCTACGGCGGACGCAAGTGCAAAAAAATGCAAGGAAAGTCGTCTCACGCGCTGTGGTTTGCACTTCCATGTTTGTTGGTCGGATCCAGGCTGCAATGGGCCCAAGTGCTTCGTCATCCATTGGGTTAAAGAACATGGAAGCACAAAGGAAAGCAAAGAAAGTCGCCTCTCATGGTCGGATCCAGGCCGCAATGGCCATGTGTATCGTGGGCACCAGTCCCGGGTCATCCTCTTGAGCTCACTTTTCTTGCGTTCGGCGTATCTCAAGTCTGAACATGTCTCTGATGTCTTTGCTCCTGCTTCTCTGCGCTGAAGCTGCGCGGTTAGACAGCCGGGCGCCAACGACTTGAAAATCTCCAAGAACATTTTAGGGCCGGCCTGTTGACTGTGGAGGCATCCATGTTCGATGGCTGTGCAGGCAGGGCCCCGCGAAGAGGTCCCAGAGGCGCAATCCGCTTGAGGCTCACGTGTAGAATGCTGTTCGTAAGGTCGAGCGGAGCTGATTGTAACCATGAAGGGACCCATTCAAGGTCTTGTCCGCGAGGGCATCCAACAGCTCCAGCAATCTATCCGCAATGGCATTTTTCTTCATTGTGGACCTGCGCCTTCTTGTGACGCAAGCCCCATCCATGACGGTACAAAAGTGGCCTTTGGCCAGAAATGTCAAAGTGATCCGCGTCAAGGCCGCAGCTGCCCCACCTTGGTCGACTTCTCGCGCGGCACCGCGCCTGAAGCAGTGCCAGTGCTGACCAGAAAGCCTGACACAGCAGTGACCGCCGCAAAAGCTGTGGTCGCGGTTAGCCTCGGCTCGCCGCCTCTGCCAAAGGGGCAGCCTGAAGATGCAGCGAATGACGAACCATCCAGTGGAGTCAGCGCCGAAGGCAACACTTTCCGGTTGACTGTGGCCCGATAATATGCGTCTGACGCAGTTTTTGCTGAAGCCACTAAGAGACCGCACCTGCAATGCTGCTCCCACAGCATCGTGATAACATAATCCGCACTTTTGCGGTTGCTGTCTTCTCTGATGAGGTCACTTGCCTAATCAAGGTGCGCGCCGAGCATGGAAGCAGCATGCTGCAGAGTAGCATGATGGTCGGGGCTTTCATGACAGACAAGCCGGCACAGAAGTGCAGTGGATCGCCAGAAGTGCTAGTGCCAGCGCCAGCAACTACTTCGCCGCTGCCAAGACGGCTGTCAAACGAGCGGAAGGATGGCCTCGCTGTGGGCCAACACTCCTGCCTTCAGAGCCTCCAGGTCTATCGCGGCTGCCATAACCAACATCTTATCGATCGCCGAATATGTTTTGAGTGACAGCAGGGTGCCATTCGGGAGATGCCCTCACCGCCATGGGTGCGGCCTCAGTGCTCCAGGGAGCGCGCGTGGGCCGCGTAGTCCTTCGCAATGGTGGCAGCAGCATGGATAACCGCCTGATCTCGCCGCACTGGCGGAAAGCGTTTGCTCGAGCAGTGCCGGCATGACGCCGTATCACGCATTGCCTAGCTGCTCTGTCAGCAGCCGCGTTCCATGACACGAAGCTGGGCCTCGGAGGCTCAGGAGCGGGCCGCCCAACCACGGCCACTCCGCCTGTGAGCCGGGACCCGCTGACGTTGACACCCTCGAGTTTGGAAGGGCTCGGCAAACTCGAGAAGCCAACAAAGGTGTTTGCGCTCCACTTTTCCTGTTTGTAGCCAGGGAAACTACTGCTTTGCTGTCCGTGGCAACGCGCGCAGTTCTGCACAGCCCATGTAGGTCTCCGCGATGGACGGCTCGTAGGGCGATGAGCAAAGCTTCAGCCTCAGCACGAGCAGCCCCTTGGTCCTCTGCACAAAATTCTATTTGCAAAGGAGGCGTCTTGACTGGCGATGTAGATGCCCAAGCAGCGACATCATCCTTGGCCGAACCATCAGTGGCTATGGTCACGGCACTGCACTCGGACATGGCAAGAGCGACAGCTTCATTGACTTCTTCAATCAATCCAGCCGTATCTAAAACACGAGGGGCACTAGGAATCTCAGGAAAAGCCCATGCAAACAACCTCTCTTCGGCACGGTTCGTGGGAGCCGAAAAGCCACGCCTGTGCGCAGCAGTGGCAGGGCATGCCCACATCAAATTGAGGCCGAGAAGGGAACACATCTCCGCACATACATCTGGCTTTGTTGTCATCACGGGTGAGCTTCTGTTTGGGAGAAGCGAACCAGACAGACATGCGTTGTATCACCAAGAGCCTCAAACCAAAAAAGGGGGACCGAGAACAAACAACACAGCAAGCAAACACACACCTCGAAACAAACAAAACGATCACGCGTTTTGGCGCCTCCGGCACCACTTCTTGAATGCCACTTTCCTGGCAGCACGCTGCAACGGGTCATGCGCAAATTGTGTCTCCAAGAAGACCCAAGGTTGCACATCTGAAGTTTCCGGCATGTCTTGAAATTTGATGTCCCGTGCCTATGAAGATTTGTGCCTTTCAATGACTTCAGCGAGCCCAACACTTGCCTCGTACCCAAAAGCACGGCCCAGGGATTGGGCTTTCTTGATTTCACCACACGGCCACAAGGGATGATCAAGGATTAGCTTTGAGTTGTTAACTGCAAGTCTCTGCCAGTGTGTGCTTAAAATGCGGCCTGCGCACGGTGCTTGGTCTATTCGGTCGGTCCCAATCATATATCGGTTCATGACTGGTTCCCCCATGGTTCCAAGGCACCTGAGCTCCAGTAGCCATTGCGAAGCAACTCAAAAAAACACACATCCACTTTTCCCGCATCTGGCTTCGGCTGTGGCCATCCAAGTGTGAAAACCCACTGCTGCAACAAGTGCAAATATTCATCTCCCCAGAACAGATATTGCTTACGATCCTGGGGAAGGTCGGGCACTTGCCACTCCATGCTTTCAACCAGTTCTACTTGCAAAGCCATTTTGGAAGCGGTGAGTGAGATTTGCATTCCTCTCCTTGTATAGGGAATAGCACGCAATGCTTGGTTTGCATTTTAACCAGCTGATTGTGGCTTGTGCCACAAATTGCACACACAATCGAGTATGCATTTTTGAATGTTGAAGCCAGCCCGCTCTGCTCCACTCCACTCCGCTCGCAGAGCCAATGTGCTCCATCTCTCGTCGCAGGACCACTTGAAGGGCGTCGGGGAGCACACCACCGGCCTCCCGTTGCAGGTTCAGTGGCGAGGGGTTTCGGCTTCAGCCCGGCTCGGTGTGGCCGAGCTGAGCTGCAATTTTGCTTGAGCGGTTTTTCTCTGTTGACACACTGGTGGAACGCGGGTTGATGAGCAAAAAGTGAAGCCTTCAAAATGGTTGACACCCAGAACAACACGCACTCCAAGTGGCTGTGACAAAGACGCGATGTAGTTTGTGTCTTTTGTATTTTCAGTCCTGCGCGTGCATATGCCGTTTTTTTCTTCGGCAATTCCTTACAAACCAAACTGTGCACCCCCCTACTCAAAATCAAGACTTGTGCTGTTTTTTTTCTTCCAACGCCCCAAAAAACAACGTCTGTCTTGGCAACTACAGTACGCACGCCCTCCGCACATTTGCCAGCCTTTTTTTTCTTCTTCCTTTTTTGTTGTTTGTTTTTTCCATCTTGGGAGTTCTAATAATCTAACACTCATCACACTCAAAATTGCTCTCGACGCATCATACTTGTCTTAATCTTCTGTTGCCGATCGCGTCCACTTGTTTCAAGAACTCTCCTCAATAGGAGCAAGCAGGGGGTTTGTGAATCCGCCCCTGGTGCCTTTTGCGCATACAAAGAGTTTGCATGTTGCACCAAGGACGCGAGTTTTGTTGGTTCTTTCAACTCTGAATCAGGAATCCTTTGTTGGTGGCAGATGCTCATCGGTAAAATCAGCTCACAGAGAGTGACGTGTTTCGGCCGCGTGTTTCGGCTATGTCAAAGATACGTGCGAGATCAAGTCAACTTGCGAACATGTCCTGATAGGGCTGTCGGCCTTGCCTCGATTGATTGCGCACACGGCAAGTCCAAACTTTGCCGGCCAGAGTCAGAGGAAAATAATGGTTATTGAGACTTGCGGGCAATGCCCAGCTTGCTACTGAGGATATTCAGGTCTGGCTGCGGTGATGTCCTTTTGCCGTTTCTCCGCCTCTTTTTGAGTTTGTTTCAGCATGTCAGGCGTGGGTAGCCCTCTTATGCCTCATGATAAGGAAGGGGGGAACTGCAAAAAGGGGGACCTGATTTAGCATGCCTAAGCTCTTGGGACCTCTTTGCTCGGAGCTTGCCAAGAGAAAGCCAAACCATCGCCTCCGCCATCCAAAGGTTTCAAATCGGATTTCACCCGTCAGAGCATGTCTTTGGGCTTCACCAGAGTGAGGGAGGCAACAGGGTGGGTGAAAACCCACCAAGTTGGGTGTTTTCCTAGACATGTGCACACACGCGCAGCGTTGCCGTGCTTGAGGCTTCGACCGCCTTATAGCGGGCAACGGCACTTGGGTGGACGTCCGGCTCTGGCGGGGCCGCGCCTTTCACCGGGAGCTGTGCCGGCGCCACTTCCGGGTGACCTGCAGCGCCCCGGGCAGAAGATGAGTTTTGTGTGTCTTAACATGACCCCCAGAATAGGGGTCAGGTGTTCTGTTTCAGCAAAAAAAAGAGGGAGGTGCAAATAATTAGAATGGGGTTTTGGGGAACTTCAATCCCAAATTGTTTGCCATAATCATAGGGGGAGTTTGTGTAACTCTCCTTGCAGATGAACCTGGACCCTCCTGCCCCCAACAAGCATTGCAAATGAAGTCTCATTTTGCCTGAAAAGGAGTTCCCCTATTTGGGGAACTAGTCGGGATGGGACGAGCCGCATCCTTCCCTGCAAGGAACAATTCCAAAAACAGTTGCGCGGGACCTAGAGGAGGTGCTGGCGGGTGGGTCACTCATGATAGGTTTCCTCCTGGCAGCCTTGCTCCTCTCTCCGGGGTCCATGAGCAAGGTAGAACCTCAGTTGCCCAAAGCCGACCTTTTGGCTTTTTTGGTTTCCCCATTTTGGGACATGTTTAGTCAAGGTCCCAAACATGAATCTTTTGTTTTCAGGTCCTTTTGGACAAGTGAGGAACAGTTGACTGAGGAAATTCGATGCAAAACCTGCAAAAACCGTCTCGTCCATTCAACATTGGAAGTGTAGGGCATTTGGTTGCAAACATGTTGGAGTGATCAAGATTCTGCACAGCCTTTGTGAATGCTAGCAACATGGAATAGAGGGAGCGGGGTGCGGCCTGTTCAGCAGTGGAGTTGAAAAAGGCAGTGCAGGGTTTTCGTTCCTTGAACTCAGGACATGAAACCTTCCTCTAGCTGGGACACTGGGTGAAATCATATATATATATATGTCATGTATCAGATATCAACATCATTGCTCACTTTTTCCTCCAACATCCCTGGCTTCGCATCCCCTTGTTCGGTGGCATTTGCTTGGGCGTTCGCCAGGCCTCATCGAGGCGTCCCCGGAGGTGTGGACCAACCCCTGGAGCCACGTGCTGATCAGCGTGCTGCTGCCCGGCAGCTGGGTGCCCTTCCACCAGGCTGGAGCCATCCACGGCATGGGCCACGCCATGCCCGCCCGGGCGCTTTTTTTTTTTTTCCTCAGTGGAAGTCGCCAAGCTAGGTGTTACTCACCATTATATATATATAATATGCATATATACACATGTGTATATAAACATATATATATATATATATAATATGGTGTGATTTTGCCTTGGGCCGTGGTGTTGGGGGGCATGACAGTGCCTTCCAGCCGTCTCCCCAGAGGGTTGACCAGTCGCATGAGCGTCCCCGAACACTTTCGAACATGTGACACAAGGTGATCTAAGGATCAGACCAATGATTGATGATTGACAGCCTGAAACATTCCACACGTGCAAGGATGTGGTGAAGTCTTTTCAGGTATGTATTGAGACTTCTCTCAGTCACAAGAGGGAACTGATTTTTGGTCATTTTGTGCTGCTTCCACTTAGACACCCCTTGTCCCTGGACAAGAATCGACATGCCCTTTTCCGTTGACTAGAAACATGGAGGCTAGACAAATTATAGCGAGCTCACTGGCCTGAGGCGAGCCCCAAACCCCGAATTACGAGGTGGTTTCCGAAATAAGGATTTCTCAAATCTGTGGGGTGTTGTTCGGCGCACCGGGGCGCCAAGTGTGGCCAGGTGTGCGAGATTCCGACCCCCGTCAAAAGCTTGAAAGCACATATGTTTGAGACAATCCGAGCCCTGAATCTCATTAACACGGGCATCAGGTTCTCAAAAACCAGCTGTTTCTGCTTATTTCGCCCCAAAATGATTGCTACCGCACTGGTTTGAGAAAATATGGCCCTTCTCTGTCTCATTAAGACTGGCCTCAAATTCCCAACAACCAGCCGTTTCTGCTTAGTTGGCCTTGAAAAGCTTGAAAACACAGATGTTTGAGACAATCCGGCCCTTCTCTGTCTCCCATTGAGGCGGGCATCAGGTTCTCCAAAACCAGCCGTTTCTGCTTATTTGGCCTGAAGAAACTTGAAAACACACATGTTTGAGAAAGTCCGGCCCTTCTCTGTCTCTCGTTAAGACACATCAAGCTGTCAAAAACCAGCCGTTTCTGCTTAATTGGCCTTCAAACGCTTGAAAATGCACTCGTTTGATAAAATCCGGCCCTTCTCTTTCTCTCATTAAGACTGGCATCAACTCCTCAAAAACCTGCCGTTTCTGCTTAATTGGCCTTGAAAAGCTTGAAAACACACGCGTTTGAGAACATCCGGCCCTTCTTTGTCCCTCATTCAGACTGGCCTCAAATTCTCAAAAACCTGCCGTTTCTGCTTAGTTGGCCTTGAAAAGCTTGAAAACACTGACGTTTGAGAAAATCCGGCCCTTCTTTGTCTCTGATTGAGACTGGTCTCAAGTTGTCAAAACCGGCCGTTTCTGCTTAATTGCCCTTAATAAGCTTGAAACACACACGTTTAAACAACAAAAAAAGGTTCAACAATACACCTGGCTCGACCCCCCTCCAATTTTACACTCTTTTAGGAGGCAAGGAAGGCGCCGAAATACGAGGTGCGAGGTGGACCCTTAATTTGCGAGGTAGTATTTTATTTTATTTTTTGATAATTCGAGGTACGAGGTAGAAATTAATATAATTTGTCCAGATGGAGGCCCTGCTTCTTCTTTCCCCAGAGCCGAAGGCCAGCTGCCAGGAGCAAAGACTGAAATGGGGGGGTCGCCCATTTCGCCAGGGCCACACCAACGGTCAGCTGACCTACCACTTTGCCGTGCCTTGGCTGCTCATGGGCTCGGGGGAAAATGTAGCAGTTGGTTGAAGCCTGCGCCGGATTTGGTCTTGTCCTTAGTTCACTTGCTGGTTCTCCAGTTGGGAATGAGCGAATGACCAATCTCAAGATTCCTCAACCATCCCCTCTGGTTTCCTGGGACTCCCCTAGCTCCTTCCCAACGCCCAGCTCATTCCCCCGGCCAGTTCTGGGGAGCCTCTTTGAGCCTGAAGGACCTGAAGAGATCCTTCTCGCGCGATGATTTCGCTCGCAGGCGCTGCTGCCGGAGGACGGCGCCGCGGAGCTGGCGGTGCTGGAGGGAAGCGATGCGGCGGAGGGCGGCAGGCGGGGATTCGTCGTTGCCGTTGTCGCGGCGGCAAGGGTCCCACGGGGTTCCCTTGCAGGGGGCACAAAAAAAGGGGAGAAGTGGGATTTTCGTTTTTTTTGGGTGGCCATGTCCTTTTGGAAAGGCCGAAGGTGAGCGAGAAGCGTCCCGTTGGTTCCTCAAGTGACCCACAATCAAAACCCGGGTGAAGGCTAGCAAGGGACAACCCCAACCATAAATAGCTGCGGCCGCCTTCTTAATTCTTTACATGGTTCTGGGATTGCGACCATTTTGATCCCGGGTTTTGAGCAAGTGACTCAAGTGCAGTGATGCCATGAGGGAACGAGCATCGAACTCGCCATGCGTCACACACGAACTCGTTCGAAGGTCATCCGATGCCTGCCCCGATTCCATACAGATCCGTTCCCAGGGCTGAAAGTCGTCCGTGAACGACAGCTGGTTGGTGTCCTTGGCGCTACATTTTCGACACTCCCAAGCCATGCACCGCTCTAAAAGACGGCAACCGCTCAGCTTGTTCAGTGGCACCAATTCTTTTTCCGTATTTCTTGGTGTCTGCCCCACTAAAAATGGCCTTCCCCAAAAAGGGTTCCCTTTTTTTTTCCAGGGTCACTGAACAACTGACACCACTTTGGGCCCTGAAGGAAAGAAACACTCCAAACGGAGGGGTGTGGGGTCGGTTGCAGGCGCCTGACGCATCCGGAGGAGACCACCGCGCCTCGACTCGTTTTGTGATCCGAGACTCGCGTGGGGGATGAATCCGAATCCTTTTGAGGCAATGGACATCCAGGTCTGGAAAAGGCAAATCCAGAGACTAGGATTATGGACACCCAGGCGGTTTTGGTTGATACACCCGGGTGGTTGACTGATTGATCAGTGGGCATCCCCAGATGAACCCACCAGTTCCAACGGTCGAGTCCAAGCCGTGAAGTCCCACAAGTGGCACTCATGGGAACCCAGTAGATTGCACCTTTTGGAAAAGGGAAATCCAGAGACCCCTATGATGGTTTATGGCAACACACCTGGTTACCTGCGCTTTGCAGGGTTGTCAAATGTTGTCAACGGCAAGGGGCTTTCCTTGGCTGCACTGCTTGAGGTGTTTTCCGTGGTTCGCCCTTTCTTTGTTTCATGTCTTTCACGTCTGGTTGCTTGGGGTTCAAGGGTGAGGTTTTTGACAATTTCTTTTGCGGATCTGCTTTGGCCTTTCAAGGGGTCTTCTGGATGTTCTTCATTCTCCTCGTGTCTTGTGCTCCACCACCCGCTAAGCGTGGAACGTCCTGAACCCTTGAACATGGTTGTGGACAGCTGGGTTTCAGGGCCTGGTGAGGGGATTCCCTTAAACGTTGGTGCGATTCCACGCCTAAACAAGGACGGCTAAAGGAAACTAAGAACACACAGACACACACATGCGTCATGCACAAACCATAGTGGTAGTCTGCTGCTGGTTTGGGCAGGACGTGGGCCAACCCAAATTCCCCCAGACCAACAACAACCCGATTAGTCAATGTCTTGGGAAAACGAGCCATGGAGATATGGTGGGCACACGTCATGATTTGCTGGCTTTCTGATAAGCAGAGCCGCCCATCCAAGTTTATTTGGAGGTGAACCTGGTATGAATTGCATGTATAGACTACATATCTTGTTTCTATCGTGATGGGGCTGCTCATGCGCACGTGGCCCACACATGAAATGTGCTGCAGAGTTTTTTTCCATTGGTGATGGCCATGTGAGTATTATGTGTCATCCCCTCCATGCCATGTTCATAAGTTCATAAGGGCCCCCTGCAGGCGTTTCGCAGGCCCCACTAGCGCCGCTAGTATTCGGTTTCCCTTCTGTTGATTTCAAACAAAAAGGACATAACCCTTGTTGGTTTCCTAATTGGAAAGAAATAACAACATCCACCTTTTGGTTGCCACTTGCAAGTGAGTTTCCCCGGGGCTAGGCCACTAGAAGGCCCTCACCTCGACTTACGCAGCAACATATTCAAGCGCGCAAGGTCTCAGACGGGCACGCGAACTGTAGGGAATGTGAGAACCGTAGCAAGCCTTCCCTAGGAGCTATAGTTGAAATACAGGGCGAGTTGAAGGGGGCAGGCGATCAGTTTGATCGCAGCTTGGGTGATGTTTGGACGGACAAGATCCTGCACCAGTTATGGATGAAACCCTGTAATGGGGATAGACCACCTACCTGGTGCAGGATTTGTGTGATTTTGTCCATCAGTATTAGATAAAAAAAAACCTTTTTATAGGGAGCCTCGTTGTTTGCTTCCTGGTTCGCTTCGAAGGTGTCCTGGCGTCTCGGCCGGACTTTGGTCTTTGACGACTCCTTCACCCATGCCGTGCGCTACCGAGCCTCGAACTGCAGAGACTGGCCTGGCTTTTGGTGTGGGTTTCCGGCTGAAGTGGACAGGGAGCCATTGGAATTGTTGTGGGTGCTCCAACCAGTCAAAAACATGGGCACATCCTTTGTGAGAGGCAAGCGGCAAGGATCCCACAAGCAGAAGCAACAAAAGGTAAGCACTAGGAATATGGGAATGAACTGGCGACCCTCCGACCCTTTCAAGGGATTTGCAATGTGTCGACGTATGAGTCGGATGGATACGTGCTTGCCGAACAGAGGGCAACATTCATCCTTGCCTTGGGGCAAGCGACTTGGAATGATTTCCATTTCGCCCTGTGAACTTTTCCTTGTTTGGGCAGTTTTTGGCGTGAATAAGCGATCCTCAAGAGAGCTTCATAGCTGAAGCGACTTGGTTCAGGGTGTCAGGCCCGTTCAACGCGCGAAGTAAAGGCAAGCTTGTAGCAGCTCTTTTGTTTGTCAGCCCAAGGTGTTTGTGCAGGGGCGACCTGGGGCCTGTTCCAAGCACCTGAGGTGGACACGCAAGCGGAGGCGCTGGATCGATGTGGGCTGGCTCAGGCTCGTGGTCTGGAAACCTCCCTGCGAAACCATCAGCTCAGACTTTCTCCCAAGCCACGTCGCGTCTATCAACCTTAGTTTCCGCAAAAAACAACGCGGTAAAACGCAAGAGCCAAGAAGCTGTCGGCTTTTGTGGACAATGTTTGGCGGGGTTCTCCTTTCTGGATTGTGTGGACACCCCATGTTTGGCGGGGTTCTCCTTTCTTTTCCAAGTCTTCTTTGTCTTGTTTTTCCCATGTTTTCCCAATCAGGGTGCGGAAACTGCTGGATTTGATGGGGTCTCCCGGGTACAAATCTCCCCAGCCCGCAGGCCGCCCGCCGCGGCTGCTGCTGCTGACCCGGGCCTGGCACCCGGAGCTGGGCGCCGCGGAGCGCCGCGGCCTGCGCTGCTCGGCACGTTGGGCCGTTGGGCCCGGGGCTGGGGCGTTTTTTTTTTTTTTTTTAAACGGCAGTGGTGTTTTTTTGTTGTTGCATTTGTTGGCATGAGTCCCAGCCGTCTAGATATTTTGGGGCAGCCCGGAAGGAGTTCGGATGCTCTTCGCAGGGTGTGGTTCGAATGAAATCCCGTATTTTTTCCCTACAAGTTCCGGCCGTCAACGTCAAAGTTGCTTTGGAGGCTTCAGGTTACCATTTGGAGGGTGGTTCCAAGATGGTACTAAAAGTATTGGCCTGGCAAGTCTTTTGCAACGACGCTCATTCTCAGAACGACCAGCCCAAAACGTGCGCCGCCAGCCTGGCAACCACCCCGATGCCATCAGTTCTGGGCCGGTTTGTGAATTATTTGGTAAGCCCGGATGCACGTGCTTGCAGGAGTTCACTGACTGCATTGCTATTCTGATCTAGTCTTGGTTTGGGGAGGACGTATTGTTGACGCCATATCGATCAACCCCGATTATCAACAAACGGGGTGTCCCTGGGTTTAGTGGGGCATCATCACTTTTTGGAGGGGAACACCCATTAGTCAACTGGGGTTGTTTCATATGGCTGTGGGTCAAAGCCAATGGTACCATTTTGGGGTAGGTGAATTCCCCACCCATTTTAGTCTATGTTGGTGGGGATTGGGATGTTCACTGCAGGTAAGGGATTTTGACCCATGGCCACATGGGGTCAACATTAAGGGAGAACAATTTGCCCAGATCCGTTGCGCCGAGCGTCGCATCCCGCGTGCGAAAGCGCATCCCGTGTCTTCCTTTTCAGGCGAGCTCATCCGCCGGGGCGGCGAGGAGCAGCCCGAGGGCTACGAGACCTGGCTGGAAGTCTGGGATGGGACGACCGATTCTTTTTTTGCTGAAGGGTTGATGACGGAACCTCAACCATTTGTGCGTGTGCGTGTGTGCGTTTGTTTGTTTGTTTGTTTGTTTGTTTGTTTGTTTGTTTGTTTGTTTGTTTGTTTGTTTGTTTGTTTGTTTGTTTGTTTGTTTGTTTGTTTGTTTGTTTGTTTGTTTGTTTGTTTGTTTGTTTGTTTGTTTGTTTGTTTGTTTGTTTGTTTGTTTGTTTGTTTGTTTGTTTGTTTGTTTGTTTGTTTGTTTGTTTGTTTGTTTGTTTGTTTGTTTGTTTGTTTGTTTGTTTGTTTGTTTGTTTGTTTGTTTGTTTGTTTGTGTGTTTGTTTGTTTGTTTGTTTGTTTGTTTGTTTGTTTGTTTGTTCGTTGGTTCGTTCGTTCGTTCGTTCGTTCGTTTGTTGGTTTGTTTGTTTGTTTGTTTATGTGTAAAAGTGGCTCGGATAGAGTGGGGAGGAGGGCTTTGTTTGAAATGGGGCCGTCTTTCGTGCTGGTGGAAAGGAATCCAACCGGACACAACTCTTTGGAGCAGTGTTCTTCTTGATTCCGGGGCCAACCGGACTTTTTATTTGGTTTGATGGGGTTCCTTTTGGCAACGGCGGGTGACATATACCCTTGTAGTCCAAGCGGGGACTGGGATATCGAGCTCACCCATGCGGGGCCCCGGTAAAAAGCGCGACAGCCCCATGGTGAAGGTTTGTCTTTCTTCGGGGATGTCTTATTGCCAGTTTGGGAATAGCAGGGCTATGTGCTTTCTTCTGAACAAAAATGTGTTTTTGACCTTCAACCGTTTCGAATTGTCGGGCCCGCAACCGCTTTGTTGTAACCCGTCAAGTAATTTGCTCAGATTCAGTCCGGCGCTTTGGTCCAAGGAGATGTTGCCGTTGCCGTCCCACTGGTGAGTTGGCGGAAAATGCGGGGCCGGCGGGGAGGCCTTGGGGCGAGGCAAGGCGCGTGAGAAAGCCACCGAACAGAATTCGATCCTTCTGACTTGAGCTGTCTTTTTGCAGTGTCAAGGTGGTCCTTTCTCCTGATCCCTTTTGTCATTTGAAAGGAATCCAATTTTACTTTTCGGTGCGCCATTCTGTTCTCAGTCAGGTTATATCCATAGAATCTCTATGAGAGGATTAGTTCCTTGCACAAAGAGCAGGCAAGGATTCGGGAGAGGCTGGAGGTGATTGACTATGCAAGCTGCTCGTTGTGGCATTTGATGGCTGCAGGTACGATTTTCTGGCTGGCTTTTGGGGACGAGCACATGAGCAAGGATTGGCAGCTTTTCCACAAATCAGCAAGCAAACGAGCAAGGGAGAGGCTCCCAATAATCATGCAGTTTTGGATTACAGACCATGTAGCGGTCGCAATCTCGGGAGCATGTTCGGCAACGCGAGCCCATTTCAACAACCGCTTTGCGGGGTCAAAAAGGCAAGCTCCGTCTGGAGACCGCAAGGGCCAGACCAGCAACCTTTCGCTTCTTTTCCGGCAGCGGTTTCTGGGTTTCTCGGGCCATGCCATGGCAGCCATTGCGGCAAGTGCGAGGCGTGGCTAAAGGGCTGTGGCTCAACACGAGGCTACACCCCTGTTTTGCTTTGAAAGATCTGGGAGAAGCACCACGGGCTTTCACGGGTCCAACTGAAAAACCACTTGGATTCGGAGCCTGATCGGATCAGGCTGCGGTGCGATCCGGTTTGCTTTCGCACAAACCACATGCGGATGTGGGTTTGTGCCAAACCATCTTTTCCATCGGGGGAGAGGAGGGCTTGTTGATGAGCCTGAGCACTTAGTTTTCCAGGGAGGTGACTGCTGCAGTTCAGGTTTTTGTCGCTGAGTTGAAGCCGCCCGCAGAGGCCTCTCGAGGGCCTGCGCAGCTTCCTCCCGTGCGGAAAGCGCCGGACGCGCGGCGCGCTGGTTGGCCGACCCGCGCTTTGCCAGGCCGATGAGGAGAGAGGATGCTCACCACAGAACACAGAAGTGGCCATACCCCAGTGAACATCCGATTCAATCCAACCACTAAAATAGGTTCTAAAATGGGTGGTGCACCGAAACCCCCAAAATGGTACCGTTGGTTTTGACCCACAGCCAAGTGGACGGAGGACAGATCTGGTCAAATTGTGGTGAGCACCCCTTGTGTGGTAAAACAAGCTCAATTCTAGTGAGGCTCGCTCCCTTGCGGGATTCCTTGATTCAGGTGAGTGAACTTTGGGAATTTGCCCAGGCAGTTCAACATCCTCTTCAGGCAAGTGTGTATTGCTCTTCGGGGTAGCTTTCTTGCAACCCGTATTCATGGCTGCAATCGGCGATTAAAAAGACTTGCACCTTGCTCAAGAAAGGACAAACACCAGGGCTTCAATTCCTAAGCCTCCAATCCCTTGCTCCCACTAAGATAGCACCTGCAGGAGGCGTATTCGGAAGATCGCTTTCCCTTGAAAGGGCCATTCATTTGTCAGGTGCCATGCAACGTGGGGAGGGCAACTCATCCCTTGAACAAAACATGGAATCCTAGACAAAGACCTCGCTGTTTTAGCATGGCAGCCCGAAGAAGGGACCAAAACATAATCCATGGCAACGTGGGAGGAGGGGGGGAACCTGACCGATTCAGCCTAAACCACCAATTAAGCCCCAAGGCAGCTCAAATCCCCGACTCACCATTGCAAAGCAGGTCAGGGAAACCAATTCCATCTTAGGCATGGTGAAAGGGACTGGTTGCCAGGCTGCTGGCCAGAGTGCAGCTTGCAGTGCCGTAGCTGCGGCAACTGGGCAGGGTGCCCGAGCCGGAGGGACGGAGGTGGAGGGTCGGCCATGAATGGCGGGACTTCCTTTTTTTGTTGTGGATGTGCAGAAGACCAACCCTTTCGGAATGTGAAAGATGATTCTTGTTTCGATTTGTGGACGATGCTGCACAAGCTTTGGTGGCACCAGGTGAGTTGAAGCTGATGCTTGATCTCCTTCCCACAAGTCAGTCAAATTTTGGAGCCGAACGTTTCCCGCCAGCCTGAGGCCTGTCCAATACGGCGTGGGCTTCAGCTTCTTTGATCTCAGATGATGCTCCGCCTTGGAACGCGCTGGCCGCCGCCTCCATGCCCCAGCTGCCAGAGCACAACCCAGTGCAGCCCGCAAGCCTCGCGTGGCCCCGTGCCACCACAGCGGCCTGCGGTCCCGCACTGCGGGCCGGGATCGCCGTGTCGGCAGCAGCCCGTGCTGCGCAGCTCGGCTCCCGGGAGCTGGCGGCCGCGGCGCGGCCGCCCGCCGTCGCGGCGGCGCTGGAGGCGGCGTCGTTCGACGCTCCGGGCGCTGCGGCGTGCGAGCGCTTGGCTCGGGACGTGCCGGGCTTCGGGCACCGGGAGCTGTCGGGCCTGGCGTGGGCGGCCGCCGTGGCGCACTTCGAGCACCCGCCGCCAATGGCGGCCGTTGGCGGCGCATCGCGGGCGCAGATGCCGTGGCTCGGACCGCAGAGCCCTTGGAACGTGGCACGGGCTCTGGCCACGGCCGCCCACTGTGACAGGCCTGCCATGGAAGCGCCCGCTGATGCCGCAGTACAGGCGGCCTGACGCTTCCCCCCACGGGGTCTGAGCAACACGGTCTGAGGCCGGTAGCGTCGACACCTTGGAGTCTTTATACGTGTGCAACTGCCGTTTGCAACGTCACTCAGTGCGGATGTGGTGGGGTGTGCGGAGGTTGCCAAAGTTTCAGCTTCGGGAATGTTAGCTTACTTTGGAGGCGCGTTTTCTAGGCAGTCGATGAGACTTTCTTTTCATGCATATCTCTGATGTGTCGTGCATCGTTCGAAGGCGGTAGAGAAGAAATCTTAAATCTAATTATCTTGCCAGCATGCAACATCTCTGTTTATCGGCGCACAGGTACTGCTGCCGAATAAGCACCACTTCAGGATTGGTTGACTACAGAACTCAGGCACTGCTTTTTGTTGAGGGTTAGATGGGTTTGAATCTCAATCAGGCACCTACACAATGGGTGGTGTTCCTTAACCCACCCAACATGGGTATCCTCAAGAAAAGACATTCCCAGATCTGAAACCCCACTTTGCATGGGTTTCGAACCCAAACCCGTGGAAATAGATGTCAAGAGAATACAGATAAGAAAGGTAAAGAAAGATGGTTAATAATAAACACTATACAATAATGAAAAAATATTAGACATAAAAATAGTAAGCAAATAATGAAACATATAAATGTAATAATAAAGTGATTACTTCCAAGATTTCAAGAACTATGCTGCAGGGATATTGAAGGCAACTCTAAAGGCATTGACCGGTGGCCTAGGCAGATTGTGGGGCAAGTGATGCTGACTTTTGTCGAGGGCCAGTGCCCTATTTTGAAGAGGCAAAGCCAGTGCCACTTTCCCATCTTTTGGGTTTGCCTACTCTTGGAAACACCCCCCTTTCCCATGTTTGGAATTGCCAACCCTCCCGCTTCGGGTCCCACTTTTGTTGGCAACCACCTTTCTTTGGACAAAATACGGGCCCTCAAACGGGGTGGTTTCCCTTTGGTATCCCTTCAAACCGACCGAATTAAACACGGATGCCCTCCTCAAACATACACACCGGCATTTGCCTGAAATTTTGGCAACCCCCCAAGAATGGCTTCGGTTTTCCTTTTGGTTTGCAGTTACCAAGATGGGTACCCTGACACCCCCATCTCCAGTTCGTTCATATTTGGTGACTTGGAGGCTTTGGCGTGTTGGCGGCCCGAGACGTGGCACCTTCGGCGGCTTCGGGGGAAACGGCAGCGCTGCGTTTGCGGACGGAGCCCAACGAGCAGGTGGGGAAAGCCCCGGCCCGGGGTCAGGCGAGCAGGTGGAGTTCGTTTTTTTTTTGGGGTTCTCCATAGAAATCCAGGACGGGGTTATTTTTTGAAGAGGCAAAACGAAAGCCGCCACATTTTTTGAGTTCTATTTGGACACATGCCCGGAGCTGAAAAGTGTTTGGTGCCCTTTGGGTTGCAACCCACTTGTTGGTTCAGAAACTCCCAACCTGGCAAACTGGGGTGTGTTTTTAAGCCCTTTGTGTTTTCAGGCTTTGTCCAGAAAAGGTCAAACTGGTTGGACATGCCTGGCTTAACCTGAAGAGAGACTCCAAGTGAGAAAGACCGCTGGGGTTCTGCTCGAGTCATTGGTGACAGGGGTGAAGCTCGCATCCCGCCTGTGGGCATCCCTGGGGTGTCTAGTGGGTCGTGTTCTGGGGCATGCCACCGATAGATGCTGCTGGGACTTTCCATGGATCAGTCATGTGCTCACGAAAGCATTGGTGTCGTTTCAGGCGAGTCTGGTTGAGACTGGATTCCCCGGGTTTTAGCTGGCTGTGGCTCAAAAACATGTACCAGCATGGGCCCTTGGTAAATGGAACCAAAGACTAAACCCTGTGTAACCCTGCTTGTTAATGTTGAGCCACACCCAGATGGATTCCTTTTGAATTACCGGTGGAATCCATGTTTGGTCCCACAAGACCCCCAGGCCCAAATAGTGGTTTCCCTTGAAGTGGCGTCTTGCGATCCCGCCGTTTTGATCCATCCGGCCAAACCTTAGGCGCATCACACATCAACACCATCCGTTTCACCATTGCCTTTCACGCCATAAACTCTCTAGTAAATACAAGAAGGCAAGCTGTGTATGGATGACACCTCTTTTCCCTTTATCTCCATGCCGTCCTTCTGCAATGGAATGGAAGTGACAGATATGCAGGAAAAAGGTACGGAGGGGCGGGAAAATATTTGCCAGACCGAGAAAATACGTCCTTCCCACATCCTCCCTTCATGGTGGTTGTTGGGAAACATTGGACTTATTGTGGTTTGGTTGAACTCCAATTCCACCTAGCTGCCCAGATTTTCCAGCTTTCGCTCCCCTAACCCCAACGTCGAACCAAGCCTTACGTCACACCTCGGCCCAGGCGCCCGCCAACGCCGCGTGGGCCTCTGGGACGCCGTGGTTTCGGGGCGCGAAGGCCTTCGATGCCGCGGCGGGCCGCGCGGGGGACGTGGGCTGGCGGCTTCAGGCCCAGGAGACCGAAGCGCCGGTGCCGGTTGTTGGCAGACTCGGGGGGGTGTGCCTGTTTCACTTTCCGACTTTTTGGGCGTTCCTTCATTTTTTTTTTAAAGCAACAGTAACTCTAAAACAGGTGTCTCTTTTGACACCGCAATTCTTTTACACTTCAAAGTTCATTAAATATGGGGCCCGGGCTCGTTCGGAAGCAAAGGGCGAGATAAGAAAGATCAAACTCCACAGGTAGAGAACTGGATTGGGTTTTTCACTGGATGTTCGACCCGGGCTTTGTTGGCGCTGAGGAAACGCCCGGCATGCACCCCTATACGGAAGCACAGAGGGCTTCATATGGACCCTGCCTTTCCCTTCATTTCTCTTCTTCTTTCTTTTCAGTTCGCGTCCGCTTGCCCTGCGTTATCCGCCTGCTTTTGGATGATACTCTCCACACTGGGATGTTGCCCAGTACCCGCCAGGAGGTTGAAAAAGCATGCAGAGCCGGCGCAGTGCAAAACGCATGCTTATGGCAAGACCGCGCCTGGTTTTTGCGAGATAGGCGCAAGAGTTTGAGAACAGCTGACTTCAGCAGCTTGGGAGCTCTAGGTTCAGTAAGTGATACAGTTGATAGCGAGGCTCACTCCAGGGGAAGGAGAGGATGCATAGCTCTGGTATCATGGTCTCAGATTGGAAACGCCGGAGATCAGGATCTTTCCAGCCCGAGATGGACAGAACCAGCTGCGGGAACACCATCTGAAGTTAAGTACTGGGTACCACCCTCCCAGAGGCTCCTGCAGTATGAGGGCTATAAACCCAATTACCCCATGATTAAGAGGCGATCAAGGGGCAATACTGTGTGAAACCATATGGCTGTCTTTTTTCGTGGACCCACAAAATGATGGTGTTTCCTTGTGTTTTGCCTTGAACCCAGTAAAAAAAGGGGTACTAGACGCTGCTTTCATGGTTCTCTTGTTTTGAGGCCTTCTTTAGACTAAAAAGACAACTGACCAGTGGGCTGTAGGAGGGTTGTCCCATGTAGATCCGCAGCAGATTTTGTGGTGAACACCGAGCACCCCCCAATGAAGCCACTTGCCCGTGCCGCACGGGGCTTTTGGCTTTCGGGTTAAGCCCACCTGGGCCTTCAGAATGGGATTCGGAGCCCCGAAATCGGGAGCACCATAGGATGAGGGCACCTTATGAAGGCGATTTTGAGGCCAAGCAAGAGCAACCCAGTCCCCAAGTCTTGGCAGTGGCTCCCCAGGAGTTTTCCAACTTGGTCCGGCGTTCTGCGTTGGCGCTGCGGCCTGTGAAGTGCCGACCAAAGACCCGAGAGCGATGCCGGGCTGTCCCCGATCGGCTCGTCTTTTTTGAGGCTCGGTACTAGGTAGCCTTTGTGGGCCGCCCTGCAAACCCACCCCAAAACAGGTGCCAACTCAAAAAGACGAGCCAGCCATCAGTCTGGGTGTAGGTTTGAAGGGAAGCCAAAAGAAAAGCCACCCCAGAGGAACATGGAACACCCACACACCAGTCCTGCTCCAAGAGAACACCTCCATACGACGAACCTGGGAGGGTTTCCAAGTACATGTTTTTCACCAAGCCACCTGTTAACTAGAATCCGATTCCCCCACCAGGACACATGCGGACTGGAACTTTCATGGTTGGAACTCCCTCGATGGTTGGAAGACATCAGTCTTCTGATGTCATGATGTCCACCAAGGCTTGTCCAACCAATCAGAGTTCATGCCCACGTTTCACCTTATCCAACCGCACTCACCGGTGAACCATATGGACAACTCAAAGCCGAGAGAAGCCGAGGTGGGAGCCGCACCTGCAGGAAGTCGCGCTCGGCCTGCAGCGGCTCGGAAGCCATGGCAGGTCAAATCAGAGACGGCTGAAGGGGTGTATCTGCACTTCCATCCTGGCAGGGAAGGCGAAAAGGAATTTTTGCCTCGGGTCCGCACTTCCATCTTGGGGAAGGCGAAAAGGACCTTTGCCTCGGATCGTTGAGAGGGACAGGGCCACCCGATTTGGGAGCCTATTGGAAGAATCCTTCTTGGACGAGAGTAATTCGTTCAGTAGATCGACAAAAATACAAGCCCATGGGCTTAAAATGGGTTGATTGAATGGTTCACTATTGGTTTGTCTTCAAAAGAAGGAACTTTCCATGTTGGCTTTTTTCAAAGGCAAGGCCTCGAAAAGCCTTCCAAAAAAGCACATCCATATGACAAGACAACAGGCGGTTTCGTTGGTGTCCTTTCGATTTCCCTTCCAAACCGTCGAAAGGAGGAAGCTTTGAGACAAGCCTATATAGGTCTTTCAACAAACGGGCGGTGAGGTTTCATGACGACCTTCACGGAGTGTGAATGCGTGCAACAAGATCAGACACACCCTTTCAGCGCTTAAGGTAAGACCACTCATCTCTCGCGACCTTTTGGCGGGTCACATCTTCGGTGGAAGTTTATTTTGGGGGAATTGGTTTTGGCTGGTCGAAGGAAAGCGAAAGGACACCGTTTTGAGGGTCCAACTCCAAATTTTTGGAAACACCCACTTGGGCGCGACTTCTGCTTGGAGAGTACCCCATGTTGGGATTGTCTTCTGAAGGGAAAACACAGGGGCAACGCATTTGGTGCGTTCCGATTGGACAAGCCCAGGTTCTATGCGAATCTGACCCAAAATTGTTTTCTTTTGTTCAAGCCGTCCCTCCGTTTGTGGCAAGCTCCCCATGTGGGCTGTCATTTTTGAGGCTCATCCTCTTTTGCGGCTTTTGAAGGAAGCGACAAGGCAAACCGAAGCCGTTTTGGGCCTAAAAGAGGACACCCCCATGTGCAGGGGCCCTCACGCCCACATATATATATATATATATATATATAGTAAAATACACGCATCTACTGTATACATATATATATATATGTATAGATACATATATATATATATATACATATACATATACATATATAAATGGAGATACATATGAATACCTACATCATTATCTATATCACTGCAAGGCCCGAGCCTTCGCCGCAGCAGTCGGCCAACGCCGCGCGGGCCTCCGCCGAGCCGAGCCCCGCAGACCGCCTCAGCGCCGGCGGCTTCTCGCCCCGCGCCTTCGCCCGCGCGGCGGAGGCGGGAGTTTCGTGGGGTGGGGTGGGGATGGGGTGGGTGGGTGGGGTGGGGTGGGGCGGGTGGTTCCCTGCACACTTGAAGGGTGTGTTTAAAAATAGGATCTGAAGGTCGTTGTGCGGCCAAGGAAGCTAGAAAAACAAATGCCATGATAGGTGGGATAGGGCAAAGTGGGCGGGGTGTTTCCAAAAGCGGCAAAGGACCCTTTTGGTTGGTATTTGAAGGCAACCATAGATCTGTTTTCACCTCGCCCTTCACCTAAGGTGCCGTTGACCAATTGCTACCTTGGCAAACACAAGCTAGCAATATTGTGATCATGTGAGATTCGAAAGCGTGTTTGTCTCAAAGCATGATGATCCTATTGCCTTCCATTGCAAACCAAGAACGCAAAAAAAGACATGCGTTCAAAACAAGCACACGGCTAAAGTTGCGGCTAAAGGTCACCCTCAAAGAAGGACTCCCCTGTCCTCAAAACCAGGATACCCTCAAACAGATTATCCTCACACAAGTCAGCTGTTGACAGACATGCCTCACGCGACATATTTCCGGATGCTTTTTTTTGGCTTCTTCTCGCCTTCCAAACTGCCCAGCTTTCGAACTGACCTGCGCTCAGTATTGTGCCTGTTCCCGATTATCAGAGTCAAGGGGCTGACTTTGATGTTAAACTGCTGGGTGTGTCTTTCTTTGGGGCTCCTCAACAATGGTCGGTGTCCTTTTCATTTCCCTTTGAACCAACCACAAAAGGGTACCGCTTGGAGCTAAAACACCAAAAGCCGACACCCTAAACAACCTGGAGCATATATGTTGCAGCCAAGAATTCCCTAACAAACCAAAAACCAATACACGAAGGAGCTTGCAACATAGCCCAAGTGCCCTAAGTGTCCACCATGCACCCCTGGAATTCCATTTCTGGTCCCATTTTCCCTTTTGTGGAAAGAGCCAACCCCCCTCCCCCAAAAGGTAGTGGGGATCATGCGGGGGGGTTGGGGCTGTGAGGACCCGAGGGCTGCCGCCTGCCTGGCACTCAGCGCGCCCAGCCTGGCGATGGATGCGGAGAGCCCGGAGCTGCTGGGGGCGCTGCTGTCGGCCTGCGAAGGCGGGAAAAAGACGGGAGAAGTCCTTTCTGTGCTTGTGTTTTTCGCGGAAGTGCGCAACGCGGAAGTGCGTGTTTGTGTGTGTGTGTGTGTGTGTGTGTGTGTGTGTGTGTGTGTGTGTGTGTGTGTGTGTGTGTGTGTGTGTTTGTGTGTTTGTGTGTGTGTGGGTATCTGTGCCTGTGCCTGTGCCTGTGCCTGTGCCTGTGCCTGTGCCTGTGCCTCTCTGCCTGTGCCTGTGCCTGTGCCTGTGCCTGTGCCTCTGTGCCTGTGCATGTGCCTCTCTGCCTGTGCCTCTGTGTCTCTGTGTCTCTGTGTCTCTGTGCCTCTGTGTCTCTGTGTCTCTGTGTGTCTGTGTCTCTGTGTCTCTGTGTCTCTGTATCTCTGTGTGTCTGTGTCTCTGTGTCTCTGTGTCTCTGTGTCTCTGTGTCTCTGTATCTCTCTGTCTCTCTGTGTCTCTGTGTCTCTGTGTCTCCGTGTCTCTGTGTCTCTGTGTCTCTCTGTCTCTCTGTCTCTGTGACTCTGTGTCTCTCTGTTTCTGTGACTCTGTGTCTCTCTGTCTCTCTCTCTCTCTGTCTCTCTGTGTCTCTGTGTCTCTGTGTCTCTGTGTCTCTGTGTCTCTGTGTCTCTGTGTCTCTGTGTCTCTGTGTCTCTGTGTCTCTGTGTCTCTGTGTCTCTGTGTCTCTGTGTCTCTGTGTCTCTGTGTCTCTGTGTCTCTGTGTCTCTGTGTCTCTGTGTCTCTGTGTCTCTGTGTCTCTGTGTCTCTGTGTCTCTGTGTCTCTGTGTCTCTGTGTCTCTGTGTCTCTCTGTCTCTCTGTCTCTGTGACTCTGTGTCTCTCTGTTTCTGTGACTCTGTGTCTCTCTGTCTCTCTCTGTCTCTGTGTCTCTCTGTCTCTCTGTCTCTCTGTGTGTCTGTGTTTGTGTCTCTGTGTCTGTGTGTGTCTGTGTCTCTGTGTGTCTGTGTCTGTGTCTGTGTCTCTGTGTGTCTGTGTCGGTGTCGGTGTCGGTGTCTGTGTCTGTGTCTGTGTCTGTGTCTGTGTCTGTGTCTGTGTCTGTGTGTGTGTGTGTGTGTGTCTGTGTGTGTCTGTGTCTGTGTCTGTGTCTGTGTCTCTGTGTGTCTGTGTCTGCGTCTGCGTCTGTGTCTGTGTCTGTGACTGTGTCTGTGTCTGTGTCGGTGTCTGTGTCTGTGTGTCTCTGTGTGTGTGTGTTTTCAGTTTTGTTACAGCGACAGCCATGGGGTCGGTCTGCTAATCCTGGGTTTGGGGGTCGGCTTGGAGTGGGGGAATTAATTTCGGGTGTCTGTTTTTTTCTTTAAACCCCTGCTTGTGCGGCAAGCCCACTTGTTTATGCACCGAAGAGTCCTGCCCAGTAGACCTAGCCAAGAGGTCAAAGGGAAACTCACCCAGTTTGACCTTGTTTGAACCCTGCACGGTTTCTCATGCGAGGCGGAGATGGGAGCTGCGAGCTGGCCGATGAAGCTTTGCACGAGACGAGGGAAAAAAAGGCTGAGATTGCGTGATGCTACATTTGTCATTTGCCACTGGCAGTGTATTGTTCGTTTGATATCTCGACTCCTCGCATGGGCTTGAATAGTCGAAATGTGGGGAGCTCTTTGAGAAATGAGTCGTTATTCGGCCCTTTAAAGATCCCAGCGCTTAGGTCTTGTGTGATGCTTTTTGCTTGTTGGCAACGGTTTCGGGCTACTTTTGTGGGCGCAAACTACGCAGAAACCATGCTGGCAGCTTGCGCGCCAGGAAGTATACCAAAGGGTCCGCTTTGGGATAGCCAGCCACATGTCAATCCTCAAACATGAAGCTGAGCTTTGACAGGCGAGCGAAATCGGGCTTGATCCAATCTCAGAATTCGCAAAACAAGTCGATGAGTAGATCTCTGATGCACTTGCTGTCAAGCACCATCTTTCTTGAGAAGCGAGGTGCATTTGGGATCTGGAATTTGTGGCTACCATCCCCCAACAGAAACGGTGAAGTGTTCCTTCGCCTCCCCTTTCAGGCACAAGAAGCTTGAAGGGGCACCCTAAAAAGAACGGCAAGACAACGAAGCACGCTCCCAATGGGGTCAAGGCCGTCCTTGGCAAAAGGCGGCACCAAGGCACCGCCGCGGCGACGGCTTTGCGCATGGGGCCGTTGGCTCAGGGGTGTAGTGTAGTGGGCGCCGGGGCCCCGCGCCCGGCGCCCGGCGCCCGGAAGCCGGCGCCATGAACAAGGACGGGGGGGGGGGGGATTTGGTTAGTGCGTGGCATCCGGGGCTTGCAGTTTTCGGGGCTTGGGGGATTTGGGATTTGGTTGGTGCCACCGCTTGCGGTTTTCGGAGTCTTGCTTCGGTTCTGATACATCTTCCGGACTTCGCGGGCGGGAGCGGACTGCATGGGAAGCGGGAACAGTATGAACAAGCCGTTGGTGTCTAAGACCCCTTCTAAGGACAAAAACAAAAGCAGGTGTTGGGGCTTGGGTTTTGAGAAGCCTGAATGATGGTTTTCCTTTCGGGCTGGCCAAACGGGCTCTTGCCTTCAGAAGCAATACCAAGTACACCTTTGTTCTTTGCCCCTGCCCGAAAGGCAGTCCGGGCGGAGGTTCTGCGCATTCATATGTGCTGGTTTTTCTGTATGCTTCCTATGATTTTGGGGCGGCCTCGGCAGCTGGTTTGTTTTCCCTCAAGGTACAGTTTTGGGGAAACTGGGTTTCGCGGCCAGATCCTGACTGAAACAGTAGTACTTGGGATGGGACTTCCACTTCAAAGTGATGCACTGAATAGGGGGACAGGCCTCTTTGCACACACAAGTGCCATCACCTGCCGCGCTTGGCACTTGTGCAGGTCATTTCGGGCTACTTCGACAGTGCGCACCGGGGGCTGCAAAGGCAGCAGCAGGCCCGAGGGGCGAAGAAGGATTTGTTTGGAGGCGGAGGCCTGTAAGCCACAAAAAAGATACCTGTGATGCAAAGTGGCGGAACCCCACTTCATCACACATCCCAAAAGTGGAATACTTTGGTCGGCTCGAAGACCAGCCGTCTTTTCTTGGTCCATGTTGGCTTCCTTTTGAGAACCCCTAGAGTCGTTAACCCCAATCCCCCCAAAAGGTACGCGTTCATCCCCCAAGGAACCCGCCCGGCCATAGGCTTCCGTTTCGGATCCGTTTCGGTGGGATGGGATCCGTTTCGTTGCGAGGGCGAGAAGATCTCCGGCTCGGGCTCGCAGGCGCGGCTGGAACCTGAGGAGTTCTTGGGGAAAAAACCTGGTGCTTTTGATGGTTTTTGTTGGAGTTTGGCGTTTCGGGCTGGGGGGGGGAGGGGGGTGGGGGGGGCCGTTTGTGACCTTTTTGGTGAGGGCCAATGATTGAAACGACATGGATGCTTTTAAGTTCCAGGGTGGATATGTACCCTCAACCTTTTAGGTCGAGGTGTCCTTTGGAAAAGTGAAGTGGCCGAGACAGAGAGCTGGGTGTGAGTTCTATCTGTGCAGCGCGAGCAACTCGATTGCTCACGGGTTGGACCTCCGGGCTTTTTGCCGCTAGCCAGTTCTTTTTTTTGCCGTGGCTGAGAAGGGTGCGGATGCGCAGCGGTTTCCTCTGGAACGGCTCGGGCTTGCAAGCCTCAGAGCATTTTGAAGAGAGCCCTGCACTCACCCGGGGGTCAGAGAAAGCCGCATTTTTCCACTCTGCGCGGCCCAATCCACAAATTCAGCCGGTCATTGGGTGACGGGCCTGGAATATTATTTGATGCGGCGATACTTTGTCAAGAGCCGCCCGGATGGCCCAACGCATCCCCGGAAGATGCAGTTTGAGGGCATCTCTCAATTTCTCTTCTGTGGGTAAAGGGAATTTCTCTACCAAACATGCGGAGAGTTGCTTTTGTCCCTTTTTTACCCCACCCCTTTGAAGATAGTCATTCCAAGCCAGCCAGCGGTCAAGGGACGGCGTCGATCCGTCGAAGTCGCCGGGTCACAGCGGGAGGTCCAGCTGCCGCCCCTGCGGAACGAGGAGGTTTCGGAGTTCTCCAAGGAGGCGAAAACTTGCCAAAGCGCCAAAGTTGGCTGAAGTGGCTGTGGTTGTCAAAACCGTTATGGGATCCCATTTTGGTTGGTAGGTGACTGGGGGTACGGGCTTTTGACCCATGGCCAAGTTGTTACTTGTCGTCGTTCGCCATTACCCACAAACATAACTGATTACACAATTCAAGAAGAACAAAGAATGATCCAACTTCGCGAAGTCATCAACATCCTCCTCCTCCTCCTCCTCCTCCTCCTCCGCCTCCTCCTCCTCCTCCTCCTCCTCCTCCTCCTCCTCCTCCTCCTCCTCCTCCTCCTCCTCCTCCTCCTCCTCCTCCTCCTCCTCCTCCTCCTCCTTGTGTGTCATCATCAGCTCCTTTTTTTGTTTTGCTTCCCTGTTCTCATCGCATCAAGAGTGGGGGATTCCCGCGGATGCTCGGTTAGCTTTTTTCCATGTCTCCAGTTTCTGGCTTCCAGGGCTTGCAGCGTGAGCTCCTTTGGCGACAACTTGGACGGGTGGGGATTCGGGCCCCTGGTCCTTTCTAGACTCTTCTGGGCCCTTAGCGGGAGTCCCGCTAGCACCACCCAAGTCATCAAATGTAAGCTGAACAAAGGTCAAAGGGCATGGCCTGTTTTGCGAGTCGATCATTTGATCCTCATCGAAAGGATAGCTGCATGCCCAAAATGTGCGCCTCATATGGGGTTTCAAAGCAAGCCAAAGGAGGGCCGGGGGGGACCAGAAAAGATTGGGGTCTCCCTTAAAGGCAGGAACAAGGGGTTCGAGCGAGCTGGTTTCTCCTTCGAACCCAAAAGGGGCCTCAGGTGCAAATTTTCCAAGAGACCCCCAAAACGGGCTCCAATTTGGTCTATGTTGCAACCGCCTTCTTTGCGGCTACTGGATTTTTTTGAAGGGTTCTTGCAACTCCAGCATGGGTGTGTCATGTTTGGAGCGGGCATCCCTTCTTAGTGGTTTTACAAGGGAAAACCACCCTTTTGGCGGTTCCCCTAAAAAGGGCGACACACCTATTTGGCTGTGGGTCAAAAATAGGTACCCAGTATGGAACCCTTGTAAATGGAAAAGTAGACTAAAACCTATGGTCCCCTGGTGGTTTAATTCTGACCCATGCCCGTCCACGAAAGGTCCCAACCCGTCGCCCCGTCGCCCCGTCGCCCCGTCGCCATGGCGCCCCGTCGCCATGGGCGGGCCACCCTTTGGCGCTTCAGGGCCACTCCAAGAGCTTCGGCTCGCTGGTGGAGCTGACCTCGGAGCAGGCGCTTCGACCGCACCCAGGGCGTCATTCGCGTTTTTTTTTGTTGGGTGGGCGAGGGGTGGGGGGGTGGGGGGTTGGGTCATTTTTTTGGTTAAAGACGGGCTTCTAAGCTTTCAGAGGTTCTTACTCCACTTTCGAGAAAGCACAGGAGGGTAATTTGTTCATTTTTTTGGTTTACACTTCTTGGTTGGTTGGTTGGTTGGCTGGCTGGCTGGCTGGCTGGGCGGCTGGGTGGCTGGGTGGGTGGGTGGCTGATGGTTGGGTTGGTGGGCCGGCAGATTTTGGGCTGGCTCGTTTTCTTGATGTTGTTAGGGTAGGGTTCTGGCTGTTGGCTGAACTGGGGTGGGATTCATTTTAATGGTTTTGTAAATTCTGTGAGACTTGCCTTTTCTCCTCCCAGCAAAGCCACATAGTTCTCAAGCTAACACTTCCCGAAAGCTGACAACCGCAAAACTAGCTCCAAGTTGGCGAGAAACCGTCCTCAACAGACCCTAAGCCATCAGAAATTACACCAACAAATCCCACCCCGATTCATCCACGCATCATCCTTGAACCTGCCCAAACCAGCCTAAGCCAACACAGCACCAAGCCAAGCCACCTGACAACTTCTCAATCGCCAGAACCCTGCAGCAGCAAAGGAAGCCACCGCCAAGCTTCCGCAAATATTTGGGCATGGGTCAAAATCCAAATCGTACCCCCAGTGAACATCCCAATCCCCACTAAAATAGGTTCTAAAATGGGTGGTGAGTTCACCTACCCCAAAATGGGATCCCATTGGTTTTGACCCACAGCCATTTGTTCAGAGTGGTTTTCAGCATTTTCTACACGGAAGATTCAACCTGTGAGTCGCCGAGCTGCAACACAAACCACTCTGGTCCCATTGCCGGCGCTGGTAGGCGCGTGTGGGCATCCAGTCCGACAAGTATCAGCAGGCGCGCGCCATGGGCCGCGCGCACGTTCAGAGCAGTGGATTCCCCGAATGCAAGTGGAGCAGCCAAGATGGCGAATGCGCAAGGACGATATTTGAAACATCTAGACCCGGGGCCTTTTTTTTGCGGCGGAATCTACTGGAGCCGGTCAAGGAGCTCTCAGCTTGCGTCATCCGCTTTTGGGAAGCCCCCTTTGACAAAGCGGGCCAAGGGTTACGTCCTTCCACTTCCTGCGTCACATGTGCAATATCCTCAAACTCGTACCCTCCCTGTATCTCTCTCCCCCTCTCTCTCTCTCTCTTCTTTTTTTTTCTTTTTCTCTCTCTCTCTCTCGTTAAAATTGGTTGTTACTTTGCTTACAAGTGCAAGTGCTGTAGTGTTCAAACAAACAGTCAACCAATGTAGTCTGCAGCTGCCAACCTTTTGACTCATGCGGAGTAGTAAGCTCAAGGCCTGCGGTAGTGAACATACATGCAACAAGAGTGCAAAGTGAAGCATGTAGTTTGACACGGCCCCTCAGTTAAAAGGTCTTTGTAGTACCTTTTCAACTGAAGTGCAAAACATGGATTGACAGTAGTGATGAAAACCATTGTTGTTCATCAATTCTACTGTATTGGCAAAAGTAGTGACCTGCGCTCAGTAGTTCACGCTGTTCAGGTTCCAGCTCGATGTAGGGCGCTGGACGGAAGTAGTGAAGGCAGGCACTCGTTGTAGTAGAGCAGGAGCTCAAAAATGTAGTCCCCATTTCTGGGTGCGGTAGGCTTGGACCATCTGTAGTCGACTGTCCAAGGTCGCGTAGTAGTTGGTGGTGAAAAAGTTTGTCATGTAGTTTGGAGCTCCCCGTAGTCGCTCATCGTCAATCTCGGGACACGACATGTGTTGGTCGTAGTCCCGTAGAAAGCGGTGTAGTAGTGCTTTGTGGTGTTGTGTGAGGTTGGTCATTGTGAGTAGTGTGAATCCGTAGTATTGGATGCTTTTGCAGAGGATTGTAGTGATTGCTTTGTGTTGGTAGTCGTGGAGTTGGTCTCTGTTGTAGAGGTAGTGGAGTAGTTCAGGTAGTAGTAGTGGCATGTGGAAATTCCAAACGTAGTTGTTCCTGAGGCTGTAGTTGTCAGTGAAGGTGGCCATGTTGTAGTTCACCTTGAAGATGGTCTGTGGCAGTGTTGTAGTCGGGAGGTAGTAGTTGTGTTGTACCGACATCATGTAGGAGATGTAGTCCCTTGTGAAGTGTAGAAATTGTCCTGAAGTGAGGTACCTCAGGAGTAGTGGTTGTTCAATCTGGAGTTGGATGATGACGTAGTTGGTGTTGTCGCCAGTTGTAGTGTGGAGTGAAGTCGTGTGGTAGTAGTGGACGTTGGCTGCTTCAGGTAGTGAAATGCTGAGCAGTGTGGAATTGTAGTGTGGCATCCGAAGATCTCCAGGGATGCAGTGAATGGGTCGTGTGTAGTCCAGTTGTGCCAGTGGAGTAGCTTGTTGTTGTGAGAGTAGTTGATACTCTTCAAGTGTAAATGCAGTGAAAAATTGCGTGTAGGGAATGTTGTTGGCCAGTGGTGGTGCAGTGGTTGTCTGGTGCTCAGTGATGTGTAGTTGGTCCATCACTGTGGTCGGGTTGTAGTAGACGGTGTTGCCAGGTGTAGAATGGTTGAAGTGGTAGTTGAAGTCGTTGTAGGTTTGAGGTGGTGGTGTTCCATGGTCACTGGAGTCTGTAGTGACCGCCACCTCTGGTGTAGACGCCCTGTCGGGTGTAGGCGCATCTCCCATCGTAGCATCTGCAGTAGATGGAGCGGCCATGGCTGCAGTGGAATGCAAAATGTAGTGAAACGGGGCAAAACAAATGAGCCTAAGTAGTTGCTACCAGGCAGTCGGCGAATGCAGACATGCAAAACAAACAACTGTAGTGTTGACTCAAGCCGCCAAAAGTGCAAGTGAAAGTACATGTAGTTACTGTTACTTACATACCAAAAGTGTCGTGTTACATGTAGCTACTTACATACATGAAATGTCCAAAGTCGTTGTTGTTGTTGTGAAACTGCTGTGCTGGTCGTTCGTAGTGCTAGATGCGTATTCCAATGCTCTGGATGAGCCTGTGTAGTGTTTCTTTGCTGATGTATTTGGTAAACAAATCTGCGCTGTTGTGGAGTGTGTTGATCTTAAGGATTCTGATGATGTCGTGCTTGATGAGGTCTTGTGTGTAGAGGAATTTGAGGTCGATGTGTTTTGCTCGTTTGCTAGTGCCTTGTCGTGTAGCTATGCTCTTGCCTGCTGTGGAGTCTGTGTGGATGCGTAGGTTTAGCTTGCTGCAAATGTTGGTTTCAAGTAGGAAGTTTCTGAGGTGTAGTCCCTCATTAACTCCTGTGCAAATGGCGTAGAGTTCAGACTCTGCTGAGCTAAGTGCTATTGTAGCTTGTGTTCTGCTGCCAAATGCAACTGTTGTTCCTAGAAAGATGATGTTGAAACCTGAAGTTGATTTCCTGGTAGTAGGGCATCCTGCCCAGTCGGCATCGACATGAACGTCGAGATCCAGGATGTTGTTGGTGTTTGCTCTGAGTGTTGTTGTTGGTTCTATGGTGAATTTGTAGTGCTTGGTGCCGTGCAAGTAGCGTAGTAGATGTTTGACTCTCTTTTGTGAAAGTTCTGTAGGTGCTGTGAGGTCTCGTGCTAGTTCTTTTGTGGAGTATGCAATGTCTGGTCGTGTGTATGCTAACCATTGAAGTTTGCCAACAATTCTTCTGTACCTTTTGTGTTGTTCGTGGTCAAGTAGTGCTTCATCTTCTATTGTTGGTTTGTAGTGTGCAATTCCTGGAGTGTTTACTGAGTTGCAGTTGTTCATTCCAGACTCCTCGATCATGTTGTCGATGTAGGAGTCCTTTAGTCCAAGATTGCAGTAGTTGCCGAAGTGGTCGATGTTTCTTCCAAGAAATTGTTGTGGTTTGCCAGGTTCGAGGTAGCCGATGTGCTTGAGTAGTACCTGCTTCTGGACGGCCTCGAAAGTGGAGTCGACTGCGGTCTTGTCTCCAAGTACTAGTAGATCGTCCACGTAGACCATGATGTAGCAGTCGCGAGTCGCATTGGTGTAGACGTTGGGTTCTGACTTTAGTCTTACAAAGCTGAGCTTTTGTAGAACTTCAGCCAGGTAGTCCTGCCATGCTTTCGGTGAACTGCGTAGTCCATACATGGCTTTCTTTAGTCGCCAGATTTTGTCCTGTTGTGGACAAAGTTCTTTAGGTGGCCAAAGGTAGACGTCACGTTGTTTACCGTCGTGGTCTTTTGCGATGGGTGCGTGTAGAAATGCTGTAGAGACGTCACCTAGTCGCGCGATCCAGTTTGGTCGTGACATTTGTAGTGCGAGAAGTGTCCGGAGTGTCGTGAACATTGGTGTAGAGGCGTAGACGGAGTCTTCGTCCTCGATCTTCTCGGTGTAGCCTTTTGCGACGATTCGGCTTCGTACTCCTGGTCCTTTCTTTCTGTGTACCCATCTTGTAGGTATCGCTTCTCTGATGACGTTGTCGTTGACGGTAGACGCATCTACTTCGTCGTAGACGTCGTGTAGTTTCATTTGGTTTGACTCGTGTTTCATTCCTTCCAGTAGTTGTGTTTCGTCGTAACCTTCGTTGTCGAAGATTATGGGTTGGTCTTCTGAGGTGTCGTCGTTTGTGTAGGGAGTGATGGATTTTCCGTTGGGAAGTGTCACTGCGTTGATTTTCTGTCGTAGTGGTGGTGGTTCTTTGGTTGCTTGTTCCGTTGATCTGATTGTAGTGTCCTTTGAGGTCTTCTGTGCTTTAGTTGGTTGCATTACTTCTTCCGGAGTTAAACGTCGTAGTGTTTGTCGAGGTGGTGCTGGTAGTGGTGGATGTTGTCGTCCAGTTGGTGAAGTAGCCATAGGACTATCCGGTAGTGGTCGTGAACTTGACGTCGATGTGGACGGAAGTCGTGGAGGTGGTGTAGCGCGTGGTTGTTTTGTTGCGGGTTCTGCAACGATGTCGTCCGTCGCATTCGTTTGTTGTCCGAAGTCTTGCGTGGGCCTTCTTTTCTCTGACGGTTGTAGTTGCGTATCCAACAGTGTTGCGAACGATGGGTTGTAGGTGTTCCGTCGTGGTGCCCATGGTGTGCCGGAGACTTTGTTCAACAGTGCGAGGTCGTATTTGAAGTCCGGTTGTAGCTATCCGCACTGTTCGTACCTTTTGTACGCCTGATTCCGTTGCGACGTAGTTTTCTCCGGTTTCGGAAACTTTTCCGAGCCAGATGCATTTCTGCATCCGTAGGTCTGCTTTCGGAAGTTTCTTGTGTTGTGGTGGAAGGTAGAGTAGTGTCTCGCCAAATTCGCAGATTGCTCGCTCGTAGTTTCTTCCCCAGCGGCGTTCAAAGCTTGTGTAGCCGTTTGAGTGAATGACGTAGCGATTTACCGTCCATGCTGCATGTCGTACTATCCAAGGCAGTAGACAGTGCTTTGTGGACATCGTCATACTGTAGTTGCTTTCAACTTGAGCTTTGACGACGCGGATTTGTCCGAGAAGTGTTCTATGTAGTCGCTCAACGCTTCCTTGACTGTTGCTGCTGTAGGAAGGTGAATGTCGTACACTCATTGTGCCGACTTTTGCTGCTGTAGCTTTTAGAAGTGCGTTGAGTGTGTCTTCGTTGTCGCTTTGTAGTATGCCTTGTTCTTCCGCACTCAAAGATGAATGCTTGTAGGTTGTTGACCATGTGGTCCATCATTGATGCTTTGTCTGGAACCAATACTGCCATACACAGTTGTGTAGTAACATCAACTGCTGTCAGTACCGGTGTGGTCTTTGGATCTTGTTGTGACTTGATGTAGGCAAAGTCTACTTGAGTGACAGGTTGTCGTGATTGTTGTTTCTTGTAGTTGTCTTGGCGTCCTTTGCCTTGAACGCAAACTGGACACCAGTTTCTGTATGGTAGATGTGTAAGGTTGTGTTCTGCTATTTGTTGTGGAGTGGGCTGCTGTGGTTGTCGTAGTCCTCTTGCTCTGTGTGCTTCATGATGCTCGTGTTGTTGTTCTTCATCGTGGTTCTCCTGGATGTACTCGTAGTCTTTCTTCACGGTGAACCTTGTTGTTCCTTTCCATTGAAATGGTAGTGCTGCGTTGCCCATGACTGTCCAGTCATCTTTGCGTTGTGAAACTTCTCCAAAGTTGTTGTGAGTGATTGTAGTTCTGTAAGGTTCAAGTGTGTTGATTGGTGGATGTCCTGGTCCATCTGTTGGAGTGAAGAGAGTTGTTCTAAGCGTTGTGTGGTGTCGTATCCAATGTTCACCTTGTCTTTCCCAGTAGTCTTGGTTGTCCTCCTGTGCTGTGAGTGGTCTGTGTATTGTCTCCTTTGGTTGTGTGGTGTCAAGATTTGTTGAAGGTGCTGCTTTGGGTCTCCATATCTTTTGTGGTGCTCGTAGTTGGATCTTTGATCTGGTTGGTGGTGTGTCCATTAGCCGTTGTGGTTGTGAGCTCTGCCTTGTTGGTGTGGTCTTTGATGTTGCTCTGCGTGTAGGTGTTATCTTTCTTCTGAATCTGGTTTCTCCAGTCCAGTTGTCACCTTCTAGTCTTCGTTGTAGTTCTTGCTTGGAAAGTTGTGTTGGGTTCTCTTGTAGTTGTTCTTGCTCTTGCCCTTGTCTGTTGATGATGGTTAGTCGCCAATCATCTAGTTCTTCTTCAGGTATTGGGCAACCACTGTTGTGTGGTGTGAATAGTGCTTTGCGTGGTCGTTTGTGTACTCTGATGGCGTAGTCACCATCAAGTTTCCAGTAGTCAGTGTTTCCACCAAGGATCTGTCGTAGTCCTTGGTCTGTGTGTGTGAGTGGTGCGATTTGTTCTTGTTGTTGTGCTGCTCTCTCTGTAGGTTGAATCACAGCAATGGATTTTCCATTGTCTGTAGTCATTGGGTAGATGTCGAATCCTGTAGGAATGTCGATCTTCTCTGCTCGTAGGTAGAAAAGTCCTGAGTGTCTTATGAGGTGTGCTTGTTGTTGTCCATGTGTGATGGTGCAGTGTCGTGGAGTGAAGTCAAGTCCATATCCTCTATCAAGTAGTCTTGATGCGCTGAGGATTGGATACTTCACATCACAAACGTAGTAGGGTATCATGATCCTGAAGTTGTCCTGCTTGTAGGGAACGTACTTGATGCCGTAGACTGGAATCTTCTTGTTGGTCACCGTGTAGAGTTGTGGAACTGATTCTCCACAGGGTCGTAGTGGAAGATCCGGTGCGTAGTCCTTTGGGCAAACATGTGTAGATGCTCCTGAGTCGATCAACAGGTGGTGGTATGACTTGAAGTTGGAGTACATGATGTAGTGGGTGATAGTGTCCTCAATCTTCTTGTTCCTTTGTTGTTGTCTTGCTGCTGCTATGTCGAAGTGTAGCTTTGTGGTGTCTTCTTGTAGGAATTGTTGAAAGCTCTTGCTGTGGTCGTTCCATGATGTTGTGTGTGTTGTTCTCTTGCCAAGTAGTGATTTGGATTTGTGCTTGTGTAGTCGTGAGTTTGCTTGTCTGATGTGTTTAATGGTGAGGTGTGACTCGTTGATGCCTCCAATGTAGTTCGCTGTGTCCTCATAGCTGTTGTCATTCCAATCCCAGCTGTTGTCATAGTCGTAGTCGTTCCAGTTCTCCTCCATGTAGTTCACCTCATGTTGTCCTTCTTCTCCTTCGTAGTACCAGTCCCAAGTGTCGTTCACATCCTGAGGTAGTTCATCATTGTTGTCGTGATCTGCTTGTTCTTGTTCTAGTGGATGTAGTTCTTCTCCTTCTCCTATGTGCCATACCGGCACTCTGCAGTCTTGTGCCCAGTGGCCGGGCTTGCCACATCGATGGCATGTTGTGTAGTTGTTGCTTCCTTTTCCTTTTGATTTGCTGTAGTTTCCTTGGCCTTTGTAGCCTTTGCTTGATCCATATCCTTTGGATCCTGAGTAGCCTTTTCCTTTGCTCTTGTTGTATCCTCCTTTGTTGTAGTTTCCTTTGTTGCCTTTGTCGAGTCCTTTGTAGTGTCCTTTACTCCTGTACTTGCCTTTGCTCTTGCTTCCTTTGTACTTTGCCTTTGTAGCTTCTTCCTTTCCTCCATATGTTGTCAACATCCATTGGTGCAGTTCCTCCATTGTAGTTTGTTCCTACTGCTGAAGTAGATCTAGTGAAGGCTGAAATCGTTTTGTAGTAGTCCAGGATGAGTGCTCTGATCTCGATGTAGTTCGTGATCTGTCCAGCTCGCAGTTGGAGGTGTTGCTGCAGTGCTCCTTTGGTTTTGTTGAGTAGTATTGCTATTTTGATTCCATCTGGTAGTGCTGTTCCATTGTCTTTCTCGTAGCGGTTGATGTCGTATTCCCATTGTAGAAATTGTTCTTCAAACTGCGCTTCGTTGAATGTGGGTTCCAGTAGTTTGGTAAGGTAACCAACGCTCCTTGTTCCTACTGGTAGGCTGAACCTGTTGTGTAGTAGTCGTAGTGTTTCACATCCGTTTGCGTTGTAGCGGTTTTGCCTTACTACTGTAGCTGCTGCTCCCTGACAGATGTTGATGAGGATGTAGTGTAGATCTCTGGAGAGGTCTACTGCTTTGCTTGCTTGTGTAGGGTCGAGTATGTGTGTTCTGATGTCTGTGTCCTCAATCTGTCGTGTAGCCACTTGTGCTAGTTGTAGCACCAGGTCGAAGTCTCGGTCTATGAGGCCGAGGTATGCTTGTAGCTTGAACAGCCATTCTTCATACTGGGAGTAGTCACCAGTGAAGAAGGGTGGTGGCAGTTTGTATCTATGTAGTCTCTGAACGTCGTTGTCTTGTTCTGTTCCTGCTCCCGTAGTCGTGGCTCCTACTGTGTCTGCTGTTGGCCCGTTCTCTGCTCCTGTAGTTTGTTGTGCTGAGGCTGATGCTGCTTCTCCTGACATGTCGTAGTAGTTTGGCATGTAGCTGCTGTTGCTCTGTTGTTGTAGTACTTACTGCTTACTGGAGCTCCCCTATGTTTAGGATCTCAGCTCCGCTACCACGTTAAAATCGGTTGTTACTTTGCTTACAAGTGCAAGTGCTGTAGTGTTCAAACAAACAGTCAACCAATGTAGTCTGCAGCTGCCAACCTTTTGACTCATGCGGAGTAGTAAGCTCAAGGCCTGCGGTAGTGAACATACATGCAACAAGAGTGCAACGTGAAGCATGTAGTTTGACATCTCTTACTTAGCCCCCCCCCCGACTTGGAGTTGTATTGCCGCATGGCCTTGCCAACCGTTTGGCTCGTTTGACCCGCATATGCTGATCCTCCATGAGGAGCCATCAGGAAATCGGCCTTATTACTACTTCACTCACAGGGTTCGAGCTGTTTGAGGCAAGCCCCCCCCCCCCCCAAAGTCGCATCTCTCGCCCCAAGATTCGCGCTTCAGGTCTTGCAGGACAATGCCAAGCTGATGAAGAAGCTTCGAGATATACAGGCACTGGCATGTCGAATCGACCGATCTGAAACGGTCACCATATTTCGTCAACCCAAGAAGTGATCCCGCCATCCCCTCGGGTGCCTGACAATGGCATGGCTCCAGTCCCGGGGAGCTGCAAGTTGTGATCTCACCGTGGACGGGCGCGAAATCCAGGTCGCACCCTTCAGAAGCCCAACGGAATGATACCCCCGGTAAAGTACCGGCAAACGTTAGGGTTTCAACCAGGGTTTCGAAGTGGTGCAAGTCGGATTTTGCCCATCCACAGTACGCAGCCTGACTATAGCCTTTTTTGGTCCTGCAGTCTCATTTGATAAATCAACAACATGAGCCCAAATGGCCTGCCATTTTGGCTCAAGCTTGCACCTATTCTTTGGTGAGAAAATATGTCCAATCCCCTCCACTCGTTCTTCGAACATGTCCCACTCGGAAGCAAGTACCTATTGCTTCGACCTTGTGGAGTGACGCAGGAGGATGCATTGGCGGCGCAAGAGGAGGCGGAGCGCCTACGAATTCAGGAGGCTCTTCAGGTCCGGGCAGTGGACCCCAGCACCCAGCCCTTGGACCTCAGAACCCAGATGGCGGAGCTTCAGGCCTACGGGCGCCTCGTGCCCTGAAGAAGCGGACGTGCCGATGGCAGACGGTGCCTGCGATGGAAAGGGAGGCTCTGTTGCCAAACTGCTGAGAGGCACCTGGGAAGTTCCTCAACATCCCCATGTCGGAGGCCACCGTCATAAGGATCTTGGAGGCCTACATCCCGATGAAAATCCATTGCCGACAGAAGGAGGTGTGGAAGCAAGAAAAAAGGGCGGATCTCCCCGGAAGGCCCCGCGGGTGACTCAATCCCAGGGCCGGAAGGAGCTGATTGACGCCACGGAGCTGGCGCAGAGGATGTGCCGCGCGCAAAACATCAAGGAGGTGAGCGTGGCGGATGTTCCGCACGCACTACCGCATGACCATTCGCGAGGAGGTGCTGGAGGCTGGGCAGGCGAAGAAGCTGAGCACGCCGAGGAGCAACAGCGCGTCCACACACAGCGGAGCACTTGAGGGCCTCCTCCACGGGGGGGGTCACCCTGAACAAGGCCACATCTGTGCATCCCGGACTGCCAAGACCTGGCCTTCCAGAAGCACCGGTCGGAGGGCAAGAATCCCTGACAGCCGGAGCTGCTGAACGAAGGAGATGCCCAGCTCAAGTACAACGCTGCCACGCAGACCCCAAATGCTTCGGGTGCTCAAGCCAAAGACATGCTTCTGGTGAAATGCTTCTTCTTGTAGGTGGTCGGTGTGATGCAGGTGACGTGGCAGTCGTGAGAACTTCCGCCGGACACATGGTCGCCTGAGTGGATGCCACCTGGATGTCGCCTGTCTTTGCCCAGAATGTGCCCTGGATCGCTTTCAGCTCGTTGTAGATGATCGGCTCCAGAAATTCGGGTGTGGATGCGTGCGCTTCTCCAGCGCCAGCCAGCAGCTCCTCATCCAACCTCAGCTGAGCTGGGTGGCCACGAGCTCTACAATCAATGAGCATGGAGAATCCAACGGAGCCACTGGCTTCCCGCCCGTGATGAGCGGCTGGAGATCACTCACAACAGCCGCCTGCGCCTCAGCTCATTCAGACCGACATCGGACGGCGGCCGTGAACAAGTGAGGGAAGGGCTTGCTTGCGAAGCTACAGCCTCGTGCCCTTGGACTAGAGTTATGTGGGGTGGCAGCCTGAAGATGCAGAGAATGACGAACCGTCCAGTGGAACCAGCGCCGAATGGCAACACTTTCCGGCTGACTGTGGCCCGAGAATATGCGACTAAGAGACCGCAAAGTCTGCCGGCAATGCTGCTCCACAGCAAAGTGAGAACGTAATCCGCACTTTTGCGGTTTGCCAAATCAAGGTGCGCGCCGAGCACGCTCCAGAGTAGCATGATGGTCGGGGCCTTCATCAGCCCGCGCAGACAAGCCGGCAAAAAAGTGCAGTGGATACCAGAAATGCAAGTGCCAGTGCCAGCAACTACTTTGCCGCTGCCAAGACGGCTGTTAAGGCTGCGAACGGAAGCCTTGCTTACAGGGCCGGCGCCAAGGCGCAGCTCAAGTGCCCGGCGGTATAGTGTTGGCTTGAGAAGCGCGGCTTTTCTGATGCCACTCAACTTGAAGCGAGTCTCAGCTGATGCCTGGAGTTTCCGTGCCTGGCCCAAGAGCAGCGGGCCGCAGATGTACAAGTCAGGCATCCTGGTGGTGCCCGCCCAGCGGCCTGCCAAGCGCGCCGTGTCAGCCGCAACGACCGCCAGACCGGGGGCAAAACCTGTCCCGATGAAGACAGGTGAGGAAGGCAGGTCACCTCGCAAGTAAAAGAAGGAGGCGCAGGCGCCGCCCGGCGCCCCGCTGCCGCCTTTTCCGGGAGCTGAAAACTTTGCATCTGCGTGCCGCACTACGACGCCCCGCAAGTGGCGGTGATCGGCAGCAGCCAGCTCTGTGAGCGCCGCTATGTGTGCAAAAAGTGCCAGCTTGCGCGCGCCCTTTGCAGGACGCGGCAAACACCGTGCAGCGCCCGCAGTAAGAGCCCTCAAGCTAACCGCAAGTGACTGGGTGGAAAAGTTCCAAGGCTTGAAGGTGCAGCAAAGCCAGGCAGTTGACTACTGGATGATGTCCTCTGAAATGGCGCGGCCGCTGCGGCCACAACTGAAAATTGCACCAGCGTGCTCAGTTTGAATGTGACTTGCCTCACCCGCGATAGGATGCTTGCACCAATGCAGCCGACACCCGTATGCCGTGACATATGGCGTGACAAACCATGTGGCTGGCCCCGCCGCCTGCCGCCGACGGGCAGAGGTGCTGCCGTCCTTTGGCGTACGGCGGGTGGGCTTCACAGCAATCTCCTGGAAGGAGGCCGATGTCACAAATTTACAACCTTCGCTGGATGTCCAAGATTTTTGGCATGCTCAAAGTAGAGGAAGCCCAGACACTCAAGCAGAAACAAAAACGCCCTGGAAGAGAGCAGGAAGGGGCTGCTGCGGACTGGCCGGGTGGGCAGACTTCTCCCTGGTATTGACCCGCACAAGGCCATGGACGCCTAGGGCGACGCCTTGCGGGGGAGAAGGCCTTTGTGGACATGGACTGCCTGATGCCCACAGTCAGCAAGGACTGCGCGGGGCTCATCCCAAGGTCAAGCACTCCGGCAGGTGCCGAGGAACCTGAAGCAGCCGACGTGTACACCCGCCAGAACCGGAATGTAGTGGTCACGACAGGACGGGAAAGCATCTGTCATTCCTTCTCCATGCGGACAAGGACGATGCAGGAGCCTGCAACCATCTCTAGATTCGTCTGGGCAGTGGACACATGCCGGGAACTGCGTGGAGGTGAAGGAGCTGACTTTGTTTTCTTCCTTGACTACTCACAGAAGACTCTTTCAATTCCACCCAGAATCCCGTGACCGGATTCGGTGGAGATTTGCATTCCTACTGACCGTTTCCCCGGAACTCTCAGGTGCCGCGTGAAGTCATATGGAGAGCCCAGGTGGGGCCTCCATGCTAGGTAGGAATGCAAAGCATTGGCACCTACACACTGCTTTCGAAGGAAAAGGGAACCGTACGGACACTTTCGCATCTAGTGATTTGTCCCTTCGTCTTTTTGTTGGTTTCCTTTTTGATCAATTAAATAAGGTGGCAAGACATGACGAAGTCATACATTTTCCTTGTGCCCGCAAAGCAAGCTCTAAGCTAACTCAACACAGTCCATGGTCGCAAAAGTCCATGGCGTCAAGCAAGCGTTTCGCGCAACTTGATCATGCTCAACTTAGCGTGAATCAGTGCAGTTTCACACTGGCGAAGCGTACTGTTCTCGCGCTCTTGCTCTCTTCTCAGCAATGTTACCCCCTCCTCCCCCGCCCCCTCCCCCCCCGCCCCCTCCCCGGTGTTTTTGATTTGTTTGCCTCCACTTTCCTGGTCGGGCTTCCCATGGCTTCCCACTTTCTTGGGGGCGCGCTCTCTTCGGCGATTTTCCGGCGGCCTGCCGGTCCCGACGATCTCCCGACGCGTCGACGCGTGGTTTTTTGGGGGGGGAGGGGGGGAAGGAGCAACTGGCCATCACCAGCGCGAAAAAGGAGGCCTTCAAGGCCCAGGCGAGGCGGTCCGCGCGCCGCGGTCGACGCGTCGAGGTGTTCGCGGTCGGTCGAGGCGTTTTTTTTCGGAAACGTTGGTCGGGTCTGGTTAGGGGAGGGGAGGAAGTTCCAGGTTTTGGACGAGGTGGACTCGAACCAAGGGGTTCCTAATCTTCTTTTGCTGGGGTTGGGCTGAGCATGACCGCCGAGATTTGGCACATGTTTACAAGAAGAAGCCTGAGGGTCTTGGACCACGTTCCAGATTCAAAACACCGCTTGGGCCAGTTCCAGGTGAGTTTCGCTTCGCCGGGGACCTTCGGAGAAACACAGGAAGCCCTGTTTGGTCGATGCTGCCTTCATGATCGCAAACGAGGCAGGTCAGAACCCCGCCAGTCTTAGTGCGAACTCAAACATGCGGAAAAGTTTTCCCTTGCGTCTTGGCGCCCGGAAAAGGGGAACTTCCATGGTAGGGGTTTGTCAACATACTTCACATGAACAGCGTGGGCTACACAAACCTTTATGCTGCAAGGGCCTAAACAACAATTGAGGGGGTTGCGCAGTTTAAACCTACATTGGTCATGATAGAAGCATGCTATTGGTAAGATATTCAGCCCTTCAAACTTAGCCATATGGGTATGGGTGTTTAGTCCTTGTTCCATTTACCAGCCCCCCCCCATTTTGGGGTTTGCCTCGCATGTTTGCCCCACATTAATTGGTGGATTTTCCATCGGACTCAGCACCCCAAGCAAAGCGCCGAATCGAGCTGAGTCCCTTTCAAGGCGCAGCGCCTGGAGAAGGAGTTCAAGAAGGGGCCGGGTGAATGGGGCGAATGGGGCCGGGGTACGGTGCGGGGCGCTCATGGATGATGGTAGGTTGGTTCCAAGCGAAAGACATCCCTCGTATTCAGAGGTGCCGTTTAGGGAAGCATGCTCACCTTCGTCAGGGTTGGATCTTTGGACTTTCAACTTTTTGGTTGAAAGAGTGAAGTGTGTTGTCCGAATTGGACCCTTAAGTGAAACTCGCTTTTGGCGGAGGGGTCGTTGCAGCAACCAAGTCATGGGTTTGTCATTTTCTTCAGGCTTGGTACCCTGTTGATAGGTGAACACAAGGGAAATCGTTAAAGAGAGCCGCTTTCTTTTTTGGGTTCCCCCTATTTGGAGACAAACCCGAAATGGGACATGGTTTCGCATGTCATCGAAACAGCGCCTTTTTTTGTGGTCTCCCAGGAAAGAGCCAAGCCCGAAAAGGGAACGCACAAAAATGACAACAGCCGATTTGACTGCTAACTTGGGGACCCCTGACCCATGCCAGACATGCAAGCTGGCAGAAGGGGTTTGGACGGCTACAGGGTCATTGGGTACGACGAGATCCATGATTTCGGCTGTGAAGAACACCATTTCGGGCAATGCGTTGCTCTAGACCGGGGCGAACCACCAAGTCTGAACCATGGGAGCATACGGCGACGGCTCTGGGATGCGCGCCGCGTGTCATGGCAATGCCTGAACTTAGAAACGACATGGGGCTCCAATTTGCCTTGCCACGAGATTCTTCGACCGACATGGGTGAACAGATGTCAGTTCAGATGCTTCCCTGAAGAGTTTTATGTTTTTTTAGAGGGCTCTACCAGAAGGAGGTTTCCTCACTACTGGGCTTGCTTTAGGTTTGATTCGACTTGGTGGCCAAGTTTTTGACGGGGCGACGCTCAAATCCACGCCAGGCGCGATCAGTCGGAGGCTTTACAGAAGGACCTACTAGAGGCGCACTCGCGTGCGCGCGCACGGGCGCACGCGCCAAAGTCGGGTGAGTCGGGGGGGGGGGAAGGTCGCGGTTCCCACTGTTTAATGGGCTTCACACCTTTCGAGATTCTGCCAGGGGTGGACAACAAGTTGTACTTTTTGTGCTAGGGCCTGGGCCGGGAAGAGAGAAGGAGAGGACCTGGGCGATCTGGGGTTTTCAGTATTTCCCCTTGGCGTTGCCATGAACATTTCATTTTCGGCCAATCTTCGCAGAGTTTCTTTTTTTGAAGCGGAGATCTGGGCAATCCAGTTCAACAGACCTCTGTGCTTCCAGCCAGAGATGATGGGGCCATGTTCGGCACTCTATCTTAGACAGGCTCCGCAGTCGACCCAAGCTAGTTTTCGACAAGTCCTCGGCTTGGCTATGAGTTACTTGTGCAATCTTTCCAAGCATCACAGACGTGGATAGGAGGCCTAATCAAGATGACTGTGGTGCTTCAGATTCCTCTGATGGTCAGCTTCCTTGATTCTCGGAAGAGCAACAGCCCCAGCCAAGCAGTCAGGCATGAGCCCCTGTCAGGCCACTCGCATTTGGGGTGGGTTGGCTTCGGAGCAGGGCACCTTTAACGGTCCCGTTTCAAGCATGTGCCTGGCTTGGCATCATTCTGGGCCAGCAAGCCACCTGACCCCTGAAGCCGTCATTTCAGGTTGCTGAATGATTTTGCGAGAAAACTGGTGCCCCCTTTTATGTGACGTGTAAAGGAAGCAGACGCAAAGCAACTTCTTTTTGGAGTGCCCAGTTCAATGAAAAGCCAATGTCAGGGTTATGCACTTTGTGGCCCCATAGAAAGAGAAACCACCGGAGAACCTTATTTGAACCACCCTTCTACCCAAAAGTGTCGAGCGTTTTGCTAGGAGGTTCGTGGTTGTGGACAATTAGGTTTTCGTGCCCACCTCCATACATCACCTGCAAAGTCACACCGAAAAGTGCAGTATTTGTTTCTAGGAGGTTCATGGTCGTGGACAATTGGGTTTTGGCGCCACTTTTCATCATACCAAGCAAACCACCACTCAAGTGAAGAACGGCCCACTTTGGTATCACACAAAAGCTTACTTTCCGCAGCCAAACCGGCCAGGCTCGGCCTTTGAAGGGGCCTTGGGCTTTTAACCAGACTGACCCAGTCCCGTCGATCTCAAGACCGATCCGCGCGTCCGGCGGCCCATTTCGGCTTGCGGCTTGAGGGCCGTTGCCGCGATCTCACAACCCATCGGCTCGGAAGCTTTCGGCGGGGCGCTCGAGGGTTTCGGCAACGCTGGGTACTGCCAGGGGTCAGGGGTGGGGGGGGGTACTAGGCACGCAGTTCAACTGGAGTGCACGATGTTGCCCCTTTTGAGACTTTCAAGCAGGACCTTTTGGTTGCCATCTTGAAATCAGATTTCTTTTGGTGTGATGGGGTGATGAGAAACATAGAGAACCCTGTTTCAGAGCAGACAGGGCATGAGGAACTGGTAAATGTCTGGCCGGCAGTGTGTATTGACATAAGCCTCTTTGGACTCTCAGTTTCGGGACTCCAGGGAACCGTCCCGAGGTGTTCGGCAAACAAGCCGTACATGCTTGATTCTTCAGGTTGGGCGTTGGGTAGACTGCTTGGGTGGTTTAGATTCATGGCTCCTTTGCTGCTGCAGCCCTCGGGCTTTCAACCGGGGCTCCGGCACCAAAAAGCTTTCGGATCGCAAGTCTTGGCATTTGGGGGTGCGAGCAAGTCATGCAGCAAGCAGGCGGCTGCTCAAGTGGAGCAGGCCTTTACCTGCGCCACTTGAGCAGCCGGTTGACCACAGGGCTCCTTAAAAGATCTCCATTTTGCAACCATTTGAAACATGGCTTTTTCCACACCAGAATAAAGGGAAACCACCATTTAGGCAATGTTCAGGTGTATAGTGTAAGGATCCCTGTTCAAGAGCTACAGAACCACCGCGACCTGCGATTCTTGAGGGCACAAGAAGCCACGTCAGCTTGTGCCCATGGATGACAAAGTCAGGTGATTCCGAAGCTGGCGATTCCGGGCAATGGTTCCCATGTCTTGCATGGTGCCCTGTTCGGGGTTACAGGCATTTCCCAAGAGGAAAGAATTTAAGTTCGTTTCCCAAGAGGAAAGAATTTCCCAGAAGCGCCCAAGGGGCAGATGTCTGCTTATTTTTGGGAAGCCCAAAATTGAAGCACCTTTGGGACAGGCGATGCTGAGCGCTCTGAAGTCGGTCTTCTACCCCGGCCGTGATGGGCCGGCCCGGGCCCTGGACCCGGGGACCCGGGGACCCGGCCACATCTCCACGACCAAACCCAAGGGTACTCACGACTTCCCGAGCTCGTTGGGCCACGGCCAAGCGCTTGACCGTCGTATTGAACGCATCCAGAGCGGGGTTCCTCCGGTGGCTCGGGCCCAAACCGCTGGGTTCCGGCACGATGTGGGAGCTGGTCGAAGCGAGCCCTTGGCAGCGAGCGAGAGAGCCCAAGGCCGTGGCACCAGTGCCAGACCTGATTTGTTTTTATAACTTTTTGCCCTGGGTGTGCGGTGCATTTTTACCTTTCGACCTGCAAAGATGGGAAGGCGACTTGCAGGGGTGGGGTCCGTCTGGTCACACCAAAGGTTGTTTTGGGGGGGCTTGTGATTAGATTGCAGTGGAGACTTTCCGCCCCCACACCCGCATATCAGAACTGTGAAGACTGCCTACACAGACGTGAGCCTAAGCGGAAGCTATTCAAATCTGCTTTGTATACCCTCTCGGCGACGACCGACTTCCGTGTGGTGGTCAGAGGGTATCCCATACAAGATAGTACCTCGCAACTGACCAACCTTTCGCGCTGCGCCGTTCCGGGACAGGCGGGCAAGTGTTAGGCATGCAGCATTTTTGCCTTTTTGCCCAAAAGGTTGCTCACCCGGATCCGCAGAACGACGCATGTGTCCATCATTTGGAGAGGTCCCCCAAAGCTTGAAGCCCAGTGGCCGATCGGCCGTGGTGGCTTGTCCTGGGTTCATGGGGGTCTGATAGAAATCTCTGCAACTATATGGGTTTGCCTCTTCTTTTTGAAAGCGAAACGGAAGGGTTCAGGGGACATGGTCCGGGGTTGACGTTTTGGGTCTCAAGAGTGGGAGACGAGTTTCCAGGGTTTTCGTTGGGGTGATCATTCTGTTTGCAAGGTCAGGTGTCGGCACTTGGAAAGATGATCGGGCGAGAGGGTGTGGTGGGGACCATTAAAAAAGATGAGCTGGAATCGCTGGTTGGTGCCTGTCATCTCCAGCTTCAACATGTTGCCGTCTCCCTACTCTGACTAGGGGACACCGTGCCGTGACTCAAGATGGTGCTCCCCATGGCGCGTCACTGCGCGATGGAGGGGAGATCCGATGCGCAGAGATTGCGCTACGCGCAGATGAGTTGGAGACGCGCAGAGTTGGAGAGGCTGACCTGCGCCCGGCAGACCGGCCGACAACAGGGCCTTCTACTCCGGCAGCAGCGGGGTGGGGGGTTTCTATCAATGCTCCCAGTTCTGCCAGTTTTTTTTGTTCTTCTCTCCCTCTCTCTCTGTCTCTGTCTCTCTCTCTCTCTCTATCTCTCTGTCTCGCTCTCTCTCTATCTCTCTATCTCTCTCTCTCGCTCTCTCTCTCTCTGTCTCTCCCTCTGTCTCTCCCTTTGTCTCTCCCGCTGTCTCTCTCTCTCTCTCTCTGTCTCGCTCTCTCTCTCTCTCGCTCTCTCTCTCTTTCTCTCTCGCTCTCGCTCTGTCTCTCTCTGTGTCTCCCTCTGTCTCTCCCTCTGTCTCTCCCTCTGTTGTCGCTCTCTCTCTCTCTCGCTCTGTCTCTCTCGCTCTGTCTCTCTCTGTCTCTGTCTCTCCCTCTGTCTCTCCCTCTGTCGCTCTCTCTCTCTCTCTCTCTCGCTCTGTTTGTCTCTGTCTCTCCCTCTGCCGCTCCCTCTGTCGCTCCCATACATGCCACACACACAACACGCACAACAGGCTTCGCTCTCGTCGAACGGAGAGGCCATGGAGAACCTTGGCACTAAGAAGAAGGTGAAGCTGCAGGATGTCAAGGCTGAGGACGGACGGCTCGTCGTGAAGGTGAAAGTGGCGGTTGTCGTTAAGCCGAAAGAAGCTTGGGCTGGCCTGGAGGATTTCATGATTGGAGGTCGGGCTTATTTGGTTGGTTAGTTGGTTGGTTGCTTGGTTGATTGGTTCCTTGGTTCACTGTGAGTTCGTGTTTGGCGCTCTCCTTGCATACATGCCACCCATGCCTTGTAGACTACCCTCTTTCGGGTTCATAGAGAATGAGGAACTCTCTATCCCATCGTATTTTGTTATTCGTTTGTATGTGAAGTCCATAGATTCCACGATCGTCTAGTTCTCTCCATTCAATGGCCATTCAATTCTAGCCATGAAACCCGCGGCCTACACGAGTCTTGGTGAACATATCCAGTTTTCTATGGCCAATTTGGGAGGGACATTGAGGGACTCACTCATTTTCCCACAACAAACCGAACATTGGATTCACCCATTTTCCGTGTCCGGAAAGCAACCTATCTTGATCGTGGCTCTCAGCCTTGCCCCCGCTCAGTTCGAAGGCGAGCCAAAAGCCTGGTCTTTTTGGTTGAACCAGTGCTCAACACTTTTTTGGCTACTTGGTATCGGATCTTTGGACTTTAGCTTTTTGGTTGAAACAGTGGATTTTCCATTGGACCCACGAAAAGTTAAGCTTTTTGCGGACGGGTCAACTGCAACCAAGAAATGTCAAGTGTCCCCAAGCCGGGGATTCCACAGGACCATCGCGTCAGCATCCGAAAGGAGTCAATTGCTAGAACCCATGGAACGGGTCACCCAAGAAGGCTTGGAACAGGTGGCGAAAGCTGAACATTTTGGTTTATGAGGACTACCCGACGCCGGACAAGTACCTCGAAGGCGCGTGCATGGGAAGCGATTATTGTTTGTGACCGGGGCATGGCAGGTGCATCCGTGCCCAAATGAGCGTGACTAAAAC